TTAATATTTTATTTAAGTTATTAATAATGTTAATATCTATCAACAACCAGTTGATCTAGTAGGATGAGACATTAGATCTCTTAATTAAGGTCAAGGGTTTGAATCATGACGTTTGCGAATGGAACAAACTAGATTGGGGGTCGCCCTTACCTCTACAGTACACGATATGGATTAATCGGTAAATAGATCGGATATCAGTGATTAATTAAAAAATAATAATGTTAATCTCTTTTATAGAGAAAGAATCTAATCAATTATTTCTAGTACCATTGTAATACCTCTTGAATGTCCATAGAAACATAGACCGAATTAAGTTAATCTCATTGTGTTTATGGAACATTCCTTTTAATGTTTCAAGGCCAATTTTACAGCTCCGACTAACGCAGAAAATTCATAAACAGATGTGAAATTAAGCCCCAGAAAGAAAGGAAAATACAAGAGCAATCGAAAGTAATAACAGGGTTGTCCTTGTTATAATCATCCCAATTCCGTGGATAAGGCATCAGTTAATCAAGCTGTGGAGCCTCGCAGTGCCCAGTTGGCTTCGCTACCCACTCTCGGCATGGTACCGATTCTCGACTGAACATCGGCCTTGAAATCGGCACCACACATCACCCCTTCGCTGTCGATCCTCGGCATCGCCTTCATTTTGCTCCTCGGGTGCTCGAAACTCATCAACCCTTTGCTCACTGTGGAACATACACCCTACATTCACCCAGAAACAATGTTAATACAGTTGACGTTTTTCGAAATGCAAATATTAAATCTTAAACTTTACCAATGTCAAAGTACTGATGTCAAAATGAACAAGAAGAACAGCATACCGGCTGGGAATGGTGCAAATGATTTAGAACAACTTTCTTTTATAAGCTTCAGATTATCCGAAACAACCACCGATCCATCAGCTGCAACACCCCAGTGGAATTTTACCCTTTCATCTGAACCCTAATCACCAAGAATAAATAACAATTAATCAATAAGAAAATAATATATACATATATATGGAATTTCCATTGACAGAGCTTTGAAAATGATGTTTACCAATGCAGCAAAAACACTTTTGGCCTTGCCATCATACACCACAAATCCGTAGCTGCCTTCAAGATCCTTTAGCACCTGATCGGCCGGGTACGGACCTCGGTCCCGGAGGGTCCTATACGCCTCGATGATAAACATTGCTTCGTTGTTTCCTTTGGACAGACCATATTGCCTTAAAAGGCTGTTTAGATTATTCAAACCCCCCAAGAAAATGCAGTATATTTCATCCACTCCACAAAACAACCTACATTTTTTCCATCAATACCCAGAAGCTTTAAAAATCACGAAACACTGAAGAGAAAAAATGGGTTTCTTTGTGGTGTAATGTTGAGCAGCCTTACCTTTGATAATTGGAGTAACGATTCTCTGGTGGAGCATAAGCAAAGCAAGCCGAGGATCCGAACCCGATTGAGAAAGCATTGGTGGGATTTGAAGCGAGAAAATCCTTGATGATTTCTTCTGGGGACTTGGGTTTGTTGGATGAACTGAGTGAAGCTGGGCTGTGCAGCTCCTTTGGTGGATTCATCAACTCTTTGTTGAATATTGTTAACATCTTCCTTGCCCTCTTACAGATTAACCCTCTTCTCTTCTTGACAGAAAAATGATCAAACGGAGATTGATTCAAAGCAGAGATAAATGCAAATGGTGTGAGATGATGATAGATGCTGAGAAAAGCCGGTATATATAACTGAGTGAGGGGTGATGCACAAGAACGTGGCAACATTATCCAAAACTCGAAGATCGATGCTTAGATTACACGTCAACATCCTAATTTGGATAGATTTTATGCTCACACTTCACAACAACTTTTCTTTCCACGTTCCTTTGATGAAATTATTAAAACCAAATCAATATATTTGCACAAGACGTCCTCAAACTATGACTAAAGTTTTTAATTTATTCTCAACTTTAGGACATTTTAATTTGGTCTCTGTTGTAAATATTGTATCAATTAGACTTTTTCGTACCATGCGCATACATATTGCAAGTATAGCTTGAACCAAACATGCAAAAGAAGTTCCCTTAAATTTTATTGATATTTTCTTTCTTTAACACATTATATTCAAATTATTTATAGGGTGAATACATATATGTTTATAATTTTATTACGAACATTTTTTTAATGAGAAGAAGCTGAAGGTTTTAACTAACTATGACGGATTTTGAATATGAAATACCTATAATGTCACAATCAACGAGAGGACGAGTTGATATCGAAGGATCCGAGAAAAAAGATATCTAAAAGCTTAAAGGAGTGACTAGATTAGAATATGAGGGATACTTAATGGTATCAACCCTATTGAATTTTTATATAAACCTTGTTTTTAGTTATATAGTTCTAAGATTTCGCCTTAATTATTCTAAATCGACCTTGCACACCTGATTTTGATAGGTGACTCTAGGGATGGGCACGAGACCCTAATCCGACCCGCTCGGGTCGGGTCTTTTTAAAAAAATTGGGTTCAGGTCGAGTTTTTTTAAAAGGTGGTGTTCGGGTTCGGGTTAGATTCTGGTTTAGGGTGAAAAATATCCGATCCGACCAAAAAAATATAATCTTACCTTATATATTTAGGATTAATTACAATAATACCCCTCTATATATTATTTTTTTCAATTAAATCATTGTTTTATTGAATAAAAATAATATTTTTTATTGTTTTCGATCGGGTTAGAATCAGATTTTATTTCAAAAGGTTGGATTTCAAGTCTAGTGGAGGGTTTATATTATGCTGGTCAGGTCAGATTTCGGGTGGAGGAGTCATTATTCTCAGGTCGGGTCAAGTGGACAAAAAATCCGACCCAACCCGACTCATGTCCATCCCTTGGTGAGTCGTCCAGCATGGATTTTCTGTATACAGAATAACTTAAATTCGAGACTTTGCTTAAGTGATATTAAGTTACCTATCACTTGAACTAACCTCTGTTAGTAATTTGAAATATATTTTGATTATTAATTAAATCAACTTGGTAATAATTAATTAAAATATAATTTAAAAAGAAAAAGGCCATAAGTTTATTATTGGTGGGTTGCGTTTCTTACGAATAAAGGATAAATTATCATATTCAATGGCTTGTTTAAAAGTTTTACTAAAGTTGAAAAACAGCTTGTCTCAAAGCCCGGGCTTATCGCCTTATCCTTAGCCACAAGCTAGAGTGGAACTGACTGAGAACCCAGTCAGCACATTATTTCTACTGCTGATACGTGTTTCATAATAATTTTTAGGATAAATTATAGCATATACACTTGAATTTTAAGCGATATATTATTATGTCATTAAATTTTAATATTTTAATCTTAACATTACTTTTAATATTGTCTTCAATTATACCGTTAAATTTTAACATCACGATGACATGGACAAATCTTTTTGTCATTGTGTTAACATGGTTAAAATGACGTTTTATTGTAACTAAAGTCAAAATCAAAGTTTAATATTATAGTTATGGTTTTTAGAATAGGACCGGTTAGCAAATCGGTCATGCTACCGATTCACTGGTTCAACCGGTCGAACCGGTCCGATCGGTCGGAAGAACCGGACGACGTCATAATTATTTAAAAAATTAAATAAAAATACCAAAAGTATTTAATAAAAAATAATTTTTTATATCACAAGTCATATTCAAAGCAAGTCATAACATATATAAGTTAAAAACCATAAAATCAAGAAAAACAAAAATGATTCAAATTAACTACAACATAATATTTAAGGTAAAACATATTAAATAATAAATATAATTATATAACTATAATTAAAAAATAAATTTGGGGTTAAAAAATCATAACAAAATTATATAACTATAATTATATAACTATTCTTTCACTTCAATCAAGCTCGAATTTTAGGCTTCAATCGAGCTTCTAATTTTTTTTTGAGTTCAAGTTTCAATATTATATTTCGAGTTTGAGTTGAACTTGATAATTTTTAGCTTGTGAGTTTGAGTTGAGTTGAGCTTACTTTTAAAGTTTTCAAGTTCGAGTCGAGCTCAGCAATACTCGAGTTCGACTTGGCTCGTTTAACAAACGACGTTGTTTGGTTTAATTTTTTTAAAAAAAAAAACAAAAATCCCGGTTTTTCCCGGTTTTCAGCCGGTCCGATTTGAACGGTTCAGCAGTTCTGGCCGGTTCCCTAATAGCAGTTCAACCGGTTTAGATTGAACCGAACTAAGCAACGGTTCCCGATTAAACCGGTTGAACCGACCGATCCGGTCCGATTTTCAAAACAGAGATTATAGTCGAAGAAATTATAAGTTCATTGATATATTCCCATTTAAAATATATTCCCTAATTATCATAGTTGTTGATTGGGATTTGACTTGATAGGGTGACTATAATATGATTAAAAATAATACAATAAAATATATTGGCTTTTTTAATTATCAAAGTGATCTACCCTTTGAAAATAAAATTTTAAATATTCTATCAATAGATTAGATAGTTATTAATAATGTATCTAACACTTTAATTATGGTTTTAATCTTTATAATATTAAAATTGGTGATTTAAAGGTTGGTGATTTCATATTAGAAAATACAAAAGAATGGCAATGTGAAGCGAGTGAGTAGAACAAAAGCAACTGAAAGAAAGGTGAAAAGGTGGCAGACAAAACCACAAAAAGGAGGCAGACAAAACCACAAAAAGGAGGGGAAGATTCATGAAATTGGATTCTAAATAAGATAATAAAGTCGACAGTTTGGTATCGGATAAGGAGCGCTTCACCGCATTTTCTAGACAAGTTCGTGTCTGTCCACTGCCACCTATAATTCAGAACCCACCCACCAAAATCCGAGAGAGAAAGGACCCCAAACACGCTGTTAAAAGGACTAGCTTGGAAAAGGAAATTAGGCTTCTTTCGGGGTGGAGAATTGATCGGAATTTGGCTGTTTTTTGGGGTTGAGGGGAAATGTCCACAGGTTATGTGCGAAGATCTTTCAAGGACTCTCTTAAAGTGCTAACATGCTAATACTCTGTTAAGTCTTGGAAATTTTTCTGGGTTTTACTTCTCTTGCTTCTCCATGCTTTGGCTTATTCTTTTTGGTGATGTTTCTGTTTGTCTTTGCGTTAATTCACGTTGGGAATGACGGTACTGTTGAATTCTGTATGATTCAGCTCTCCCGATTATAGTATCAAATTGTGGTTGCGATATTGTTGATGTTATTATGTGATTTATTTTTTTTAAATAACTATAATTTTATAGTGCCGATGTGGTTACACTCTCGTCGTGACTTTAAAAAAATATTGCAATCGTTACATTATATTGTATCCGTAATTTAATATTATATTTGTAGCAGTGTATGTACTATATTGACGTATGTAGGACGGAGTTAAGATCAAATATTGGAAAGGACCAAAGTTTTATTTGACTAATGTTTTAATATTGATGTATTTTCATCCATATTGGCTTAATATAATCATGATTATGGTCTTCTCATTTGACTTAAACGCCCTATCGGACAATGCAAGGTGCAGGGCGTCGGATTTTCCGAGGGAGCATGATGGGGCATGCCTTCAAATGAGAATGTCATACAGTCCAACTACGCACCTCTTCTTGTTTTTGGTGCAGTGGACTGACTTTCATCTTGCAGGAGCCCTTGGACTGTTAAGAATACTAATCTACAAGGTTGTTTTTGTTACACTATGTTTAGCTCGTATGTTTATACTACGAAAATTAGCTGATTTCATCATCCTATCACGTTCCTCAGGTTTATGTAGATGGAACTACCACTATGTCTACGTATGAAAGGAAAGCGAGCATCAGAGAGTTCTACGGTATCTTTCTCCGTCGGATTGTTTGGTAGATTTGCAGAATGTAGTTCTTATGTTATCCGGATGCTTATTGATTCCTACGTTCCCAGCTGTTATCTATCCCTCTTTGCAGCTACTTCAGAGTGGTGTCACTGATACCGAAGATAAAAAACAGAAAGCAGCATGCATGGATAGGTGTCGTAGAAGAGAAGATGAAGAGTACAGGCAGCTTATCGATGTTGATTTTGAAAGAGAAGAAGAATGCGGAATATGCATGGAGACGGACAGTAAAATTTTGTTACCAACCTGCAACCACACCATGTGCTTGACATGTTATCGTGAATGGTATTCTTCCTCTTTCGCACCCTTAATCCCCTAATTCCTTTCTCGTTAGACATTCTCGAAAGTTGTCCTGTTTTGACATCCCAAGAGTTGATAGAATTACAGTCCCGACGCCCACCAATACCCTTTAGAGACAATAATGACATCTTTAGGACCTTCATTGTTTTGGCGTTTGCATTCAAGTGCTATTTAAGGTGCAATGAAATTGAATCTTTGGAACTTATGGTTAAAAACATACAATGATGCATCATGTAGAATAGAAAAAAATACAGGGTCGATCGTTGGAACTTGTTTTAACCATAAGTTCCAAAGATCACAGTCTGAAATGCGTAGAGAAAACATGCATGTGATCCGGTTGCTGGTCTACTAAACTTGTTCAAACAAGTTCCAAAGATCACTGTCCTGTCCTTGAACAATTTGTTGCAATGCCGTTTTTTTCCTTTTGCAATCCTTGAACAATTTGTTGCAGCGAATTGCAGGCGGTCAAGATCACAGTCCTGTCCTTTCTGTCGTGATAATCTCAAGAGAGTTAACTCGGGGGATCTCTGGGTATACACAGACAGCCGGGATATAATCGACATGGCTACGGTGACAAGGGAGAATCTTAGAAGGCTTTTCATGTATATAGATAAGTTGCCACTCATTGTCCCTGATACCATTTTCGATACTTATGATTCCCACCTACGGTGATAACTATAGTCTATACTATGGTTTTCGTTTTAGTGATCCCCGAGTATTTTCCTCTCGTCGATTGCATAGAAGACGACGACATCGCTCGATTTGGCAAATTTTAGCTCATCTTGTTTGCAATGTTTTCTTCCCACTTCTCACCAAGAAGAAGAAGAAGAAGAAGAAATCATGCCCGACTTATTGTGGGCTGGTGCTGAAGTTGAGGTAGTTCATCTACAATTTATGAATTTGTATTTAGTACACTTGTACATGGTTTTTATAGCCTTATGTTTGATTAATAACAAATCCTTTGCCAAAGCATACCTTGCCCGATCTTCTTTTTCACGAGCTTGCTGTCATATTTTATTCATTAATTTATTAATTTGGAACTTGGAACGAATACTATAGAGGTTCAATGATTAATCTAGTTCAATTTTCTCTATTCATAACATCATGGTACGCATTTTTAATTTTAATTAAGAGATTTATGAATATAATTCACTAGATTAACTGATATTACTCGATTTTTTTATTTTTAATAAAAATAATAATAAATAGTGTGACTATTAATAACACTGATACCATCACAAATTTATTTTTAAAATTTTAATCTTAATTTAAAAAAAACAATTCTTATATTCTATCAAATTAACCCCTAACATTCCAAACTTTCATCTTTAAAATATTTTAAATAAGTCAAAGAAACTACATGCATCGTTAAGATTCTCAATTATTGAGGCCAAGAAACTAAACATCACCCGAATATCAATTCATTTATATTCACATCAATTTTGGCTGCGACCTTGCCAATTCTAATGGCAGATTTAGATTCTCTGCTTGCTTCATCTGTACATGCTTTCATGTATCTTATATCTGTTTATATTTTAAAGGTTTGTTTTGTGGTCCATGTGCACGGGCTATGCTCTGTTGTCCATGGACGCAGGCTATGTTTCTTGGGTTTATTTCGTGGTTCATGGGTGGAAGATCCGCAAGCAAAAAGAAGATTTACAGGTCAGATTAAATACGGATTTTTTATATGTACGATGTAATTATAAGGTAGTATATATGCAGAATTTGTTGAGTAAATTAACAATGAATGCACATATTTTACAGACGTAATTACTTAAACTCGTTATTTTTAGGAATATCGATAATCTATTTTATAACTGAGATCATTTAACAAGTTCGAGTTTATTTAGACGTAAATGTACAAATTATAGATTTTTAATATATTCTTACGTATGAAGAAATGCAAGCATCAGACAGATGCTTTCGTTACATCAAAGTGATAATATAATATATTTATTGTTTTGTAGCCTCCTAGTTTGTCGAAGAATCTCAAAATTCATATTCTAGAAGTGTTGTACGATTGATTTATATATTATTAACCATCCAAATAATTTCATCTCTAATGTCGCATTTGAACTTGTATATAACAACATATATGAAACCACGTTCTTGCAACTCAAACTCGGACTTCAACCATGGTTGATCCACAGTTCTTCATCCTTGCCTTCTTTATCTGGTCGATAACCATAATCTTTCTCCGAGCCATCATTGGAAAAAGACGAGGCAAGCTTCCGCCGAGCCCGCGTGCGCTTCCAGTTATCGGACACATGCACCTCCTCGGCCCCATACCTCACCAAGCTCTTAACAAGCTCTCGAACCGTTACGGACCTTTGGTTCACTTCTACATCGGATCGAACCGTTGTCTGCTTATTTCCTCCCCAGAACTGGCAAAGGATTTCTTCAGGAACCATGAAACTAGCTTTTTAAACCGGCCAAAGCTTTCAAATCTCGATTACCTTACGTATGGTACGTCTGATATGGCCATGGCACCTTATGGTCCCTATTGGAAGTACATGAGGAAATTGTGCATGACTGAACTGTTGGGGACTCGGACATTAGACCGGTTGCTTTTGATCAGACGCGACGAGATTAACATATTTGTGAAGTTAATACGGGAGAAAGCCGAGACAGGGGAGGCGGTCGACGTAGGAGCGGAGCTGATGAAGCTGACGAACAACGTAATATCGAGAATGCTACTTGGAAAGAGGTGTTCGGATAAAGAAGATGAGGCTAGTGAAGTGCAGGCAATTGTGAAAGAGATGAATAGCCTCAGCACAAAGTTTAATTTGGCGGATTCATTCTGGTTCTGTAAGAACTTGGACCTGCAAGGGTATAGGAAAAGGCTCAAGAATGTCCGGGACAAATTCGATATCCTGATGGAGAATGTAATATCGGAACATAAAAAGGCGAGAAACCAGAGTGGATCCACAGGCGACAGCGACACCGTGAAAGACGTACTCGATCTTTTGATTGACATATCAGAAGACGAAAATGCCGAGATGAGGCTGACCAGAGAAAACATAAAGGCCTTTGTTATGGTAAATGAGTCTACCTAAGATAGATTTTTGTGTTCACAAGGACAGAACTAATGCCTATTCTTGTTTTGATTGAGTTTTGCAGAACATTTTTGGGGCCGGGACAGATTCGTCTGCGGTTACCGTAGGATGGGGACTATCGGAGTTGATTAACCACCCCAATGTGATGGTGAAAGCACAAGAAGAGATCGACTCATCGATCGGAAGAAACCGAATGCTGGAAGAATCCGACATAGCAAACCTTCCATATCTCCAAGCTATAGTCAAGGAAACACTGAGGCTCCATCCTTCTGGACCATTAGTCGTGAGAGAGTCGACAGAAGATTGTACCATCGGCGGTTACGATATTCCGAAACAAACGAGGCTCTTCGTCAATCTGTGGGCTCTCGGGAGGGACATCGAACACTGGGAGAACCCGCTCGAGTTCGTACCGGAGCGGTTTCTTAGTGAAGAGTGGAAGCAACAAGGGAAGTTCCAGTTTCTGGATTTGAGGGGACAACATTTCAGCCTGTTACCATTCGGGAATGGAAGGAGAAGCTGCCCTGGAGCTTCACTGGCACTGCTGCTGGTCCCAACGGTCCTCGGCCGATTGATACAATGCTTCGATTGGAAGGTCGGAGATGGAGAAAATGAAGATTGTGGTGTTAATATGGAGGAAAAAGCTGGAATAACTCTTCTAAGAGCTCATCCTTTGGTTTGTCACCCAGTGGCAAGGCTTCCATTTCCATCAGTACGAGTAATGTTCTGATTCTGCTCCTTGTACTCGTTGCATAAATGCTTGTAATCTAATAAAAAACTTGGTAAATAACGTGTTCCGTAACATTGATAGCTTTAACTTGTTTTCGTCGACATGATAAAGTTTCGAACACAAGTATGCATCCCATATAAGATCAGCAATAAAAACATTACATAACACGAACACATAAACGTGTCGAAATCTATATAATACAAATCGACACAACAAAACGACACGAATTTACAGATTTAACCACACTAACTCTGGTTTGAGGACCAAGGGTGCCCCTAGCTTGGTAGTGTGTCCCATGGTGAGCTCTGCTTTCATTCTGCTTCTCAGTTTCTCTCGTTGTTTATGAATGATACATACAATTGCAGGCACCCTTTTTCTCACTTATTTCGTCTGTTTTCGATAAAAATCGATACAAAATCAAAGTAGATCAACAAAAAGTAAATTGAAAGATTGAAAAAGGGAAGCAGGAAAGATTTCTTACATTCCAAGTTTCATTCCTGTTTGCAAAAGGAGGTTCTTCAATGACATAAGCAGGTTGTTGAGCATGGTTACTTATGAGCGACACCCTAGCTTGAGCGAATTCTTCATCACTATCATAGTTTGAGCGTTGGTTGGGGCTAAAGGCTCTCAGTGCCATAGCGAATAGTATCGAAAGTCCCTGCGAAGAAACGACTCGAAATGTAACCAAACACCCTTCGTAACCCATAAAATGTGCAGATAAAGTTACCTGTCCTAAGAAAATAGTCAAGAAGATCCATTTGAAGATGTCGATATTAGACTCCACAAATTGTTTGAAATCATGGAACCTCCCTGTCGGATCTTCGGGTATATCCTGATCTCGATGATGAAACTAAAAATGCTTAATATTGAGAGAGAATAAATGAAGAAAAGGGGAAAAGTCTCATACCTTTTCCCACTCTGAGTTTAAGAGTATATCAGCTGCAATTCCAGTCTCTATCAGTAGAACCACTGAGATTATCACCATGTACTTTCTACCATTAAAGAAAAACAAACATTGCTTGCAAAACAAGTTTTACGATTACAAAAAGGGAAACCGGCATCGATAAAGAAGTTTATGAACTCGAATGAAGCCAAAAGGATACACAGAAAAGGCAAGATACATGCGCACTATCTGCAGCAATATGGCCTAGGCATGTTAGTAGGCACAAGGTGACGCCTGTGCCCAGAAAAGTGAATATAAACCTGCAGTTACAGTAAGATCAGTAAACACAGAACATGAAAGCTAAGTTGCTTGGAAACTCACCTCCAATGCGCCATAAAAGAAGTTTGATATAAATTACCATGGAGCAGTGGAATCCAAGTCCTCAAAAGATGAGCCTGCCATGTCTCTCTGCCAAACTCTGAGCATCCAAAAGCCATATAGGATCATAGCAATCCCTACCATCGCCATTATCAGGTTCACAGCTTTCAACGTCGATTGCATGCAGGATTTTAGCATACTAGCCATTGTGAACTCCAGAGCTCTGATCAACACCAGAATGATCTCAAGATTAACAAGAAGATACTTTGGGGGATGTTAGACAGAACTATAGAGTTTAGGAATACAGGACAAGGAGAAATGGGTGTGGCAGTGGCTTATCAATAAAAGAAACAGTGACATGTTATTGTTTTTCTTTTTTGTTTGTGTGCTTCATGTGATATATAATATAACTTCATGTAGTATATAATATACCAATAATAAATAATATTAGTAGGATCTACTACAACACTATCAGTCGTCATCTTTATCTTTAAAATTTTTGTCATGTACAGATTTTTGGTCAGTATGACTAACAATTCTCTACTGAAATCAGAAGAAGACCAACTGATCAGTCCACCACCGTTTTGAACCTGTCCAACCTCCTTTTAACCATTATCTCTTATTGTGCGTCAACAATATATATGTCCAAAAGCTACACTTGTTTGTATCATGAGATCCAAATGGGTGGGTTTTTGTAAATTTTACCTTTCCACAGGACGCAGGAGGGGGAAAATGAATGGCCAATCTCATTCAAACAACAGTTATGATGGAATGATTGAGAGACGGAGGGAAATTTCTCGGAAGCTATCTGTTTGTTTTCTTCTTGTTTGGCTTTTATATTTTCAACGGTCAAATAATTAACGGTCCTTGTTTTGATTTAGTAAAGTGATTTAAAAGTTGTGTAAATCTTTCTCATAGTTGGTTGCTGTGGTGTAGTGGTTATCACGTTAGTCTTACACACTAAAGGTCCCCAGTTCGATCCTGGGCAGCAACAAGCTTGGAGCCTTTTTGGTTGATCGATTTAGCTCACCTTATTGGTTCTGCTGATTAATATAATTTTTTTCATATAATATATCCTACTCAGATATTTACAAGTTTTAACTTGTGAACCGAAAAACGAGCCGATTACCTATAACCATGAACCGAATTTACCAAAATTATTAAAATATAATTGAAACCGAACCGATAATTTAAATGGATTTTAGATCAGTAAAAAGTGTCCTCGAACATTGCTTGCATTCATTAGTGCTATTGTTCTACTGAAATGATTTGGATAATACAAAACTATTAACAAGTGATTTTGTCGAAATCTCCATCGTGGATACAATACACGGTGAGGGTATCCCCTAAACCCTTTTCGCTACCAAAACTCTGAACGATCTCATTCGGCCTGCATGCACTATCAGGAGATATCCTGGATGATATACAGATCGGCCACGCGGTCTACTTGTTTTGACTGCGAAGATGCTCGCGCATAAGCATATGAATCTCTGCCCTGACAACCATTCGCATTTTGTTCGCATCCTCCCATAGTAAACCAGAATGCATTCGGGCAAAGTCGGAAGCAGCCTCGAAGACATCCTGTCCAATAGAGAAAGACGTAAAACTCCAAGATATGATCACATAACATTCATAGACATCAGAAATATATCACTCCGACGAAGAAGCTTGAGAGTACTTACCCTTGAAGGAAATTCATCATAATGATGAGCCGGAGTCATCTCAACTCTGTGCAAATCAGTTTCCCACAATCTTATCTGCAACAAAAGAGTACCTACATTAGCAACACTCAATATGCTTCCATTGAAGTCGGGATGTATCGGTTTAAATGAATTAATCACATCTCAGTGCCAAAAGTTTTTAAGCAGATTAAGTATTTAACCTGATCTGTGACGTTTTCAGGTACTGATGGTACTTTCTCAGCAACACGAGGATGGGCGTTCTGCTGAAGGAATGTAACTATCTGTATTCACGAGTTAAATTAACAAAATAAGCTGCTTAGACTATGTCGGATAACTTCAGTTGCTACTATCTTTTTGATCGTCTGAGTTCTTGAATGATCCTGCAATTTGAGACCTAAAAGGGCAACTACAAATGGATACTAACCTGGTCGGCTGTAATGCCATTTTCAAAAGCATTATACAGGCTTTCTTTTGTTATTGCAGCAACTATGAGGTTTGGAAGTTGATACTCTACCCTATAAATGTGAGTACATTATTGTTTTAGGGAAGAATTCAAAAAGTAAATACAGCAGTAATAATTCTTTGAACCTTAGAAACAAGCCCATGAAAGTGGATTGAGAGAGAGGATCAGAAAGAGAACTACTAACAAGCTATGCATTAAATAAAGTAGAAACAGCCACATAGTTTACATGAGGAAAATGTAACTATCGCCTACAGAAAATAGCATCAAATTGATTCAGAGGCTCTCTTTCTCTCTTTCTTTTTTTTGGGGGGGGGGGTCATTGAAGGGGCAGTAACTTTATAATCAAAAGGTTGTGTCGTAGCATTTACACACATTAGCTCCATCAGAAACCAAAAACCTTGGAAGAAAATGAGAAATTTCTAGGTGCTTTCCATTTTACTTGGAGACGTTCTAGAAAATGACATCTAACAGTTATAAATGGAAACACCTTTTTTTCCGCCGCGGGTGGGGGGATTACTAGATAAACATTCACTTTCCTCATTATTTGAAGATTGTTTGTTGTTACTCCATCTAAAAGCAATTTGGCTCTTCAAGAAGGCAACTAATGCAGCATTTTCTTGATACAACAAAATTTAAGGATTCACTACCTCGTACCTTGAGAATAGACGTAAAATTTCACAGTGTAACTTGGATGACGAGTACGCGTACATCCTAAAGTTTGTTTCCACAACAACAAATCCCTGAAGAAAATACATCATAACTGAATGAGTAAAGTGTAACACTACTTGGAAAACAGTGATAATGGCATATATTCACACAAATAACTTAATTGGCCATACTTGTTTCCTTGATGTTGTATCTGCTAAGCTTACTGAAAGATTGGTAGCTAATTTAGTAGGAATAAACCAACTCTCTTTCCTGCCCTAAACATATGCAAATACCACTGTTTCATCATAAATCATTACTTTAAACAATTTGATATGTATCCTATAGGAAGAATATGGTTAATTAGGAGAACCTTCTGAAGCTTGACCAATCCCAAGTCTGCAAGGTCCTTGATCATGGCCGTCTGGTAATCCGTGAGTGTATCTAAATTATAAGCCTACGACAAGACAAAGCAAATTTAAAGCATATTTCCAAAAAAAAAAGTGTCACAGAAATTAGCTTTAAAGAACCTCAAGAAAAGAAAGCACACCAAAAGGGAGTAAGCTTCTAGTGCAAATAACAAAAGACAACAAAAGGTTTAAACCAAAAACAAAATGGAGATTAACGTAGATTCTTGCCAAGACAAAATGGATTAAACAAATGGAAAGCATACACTTCTTCCAACAAAACTTTTCCATGAACAATCATGGATCAAGGGGAAAGTTAAAAAATCAATATGGCATACCTCACCAGTGGTATGAAAACTAAGTTCTAGCAAAAAGGCAATTAAGTCTGCTTGGTCTACACCCTGCTCCTGCACCAAACGATGAAAGTCCAATATAAGATACAAAGACATGCTACAACATGACAGAACTCGAGTTGCATCAATGACCTCCAATTAGAGTAAAGAGGTGAAACCAGGAATCAACTTTTATTTGTCATTCATTGAATCGATCAATATATGGATCCATCAATCCACAAACATGAATGCAATAATGCAACCATATATCTCATTTAGCAATGGCCAGAAATTACACAAGTAGCTGTTATAACATATATATATAAATTATTCATGCACAAGAAAAACAAGTATACACAAGCTCTAGCATTGCATTTGCACATATGCACAGTCACACACCAAAGACTACACTCGTATTTATGAGAACAATACATAATGATAAAGCAATACCAAGTTTATAACAAATCCATGGCAATTTCCTCTGCAAAAACTCAAAACTTCACAACACATTATATATAAGAAACAAGCATCAAGCGAAACACCAAAATATCTCATGAAATGTACCTCTGAATTGGAGATATATTCTCTGATAACATACCAAAGCTGCGCACTTGTATCCATCAGCTGTAAATTTCACATATGAGAATTAATTTTAGGTGACAGGCAAGAGGCAACCAAAAATGAGGCAAAGGGACCATGAGTTAAATGATGCACACCAAGAACTGGAAACCACTCTCAGTTAATCTTGGTGCTTCTTTCTCTCTGCGGAAGCAGAAATATAGAAATCATGACACCAAACATGAGATATAGAACCCTAAATATCTATAAGGTAAACTAAATGAAGCTAAAGTGAATGGTAGGATTTAACACCTTTGACGTAAAAAGCCACGCTGAAAAATTCTCATCATGGAAGAGCTGAAGCTTGATGATTTTTCAGCTTGTCCTGAACTTATAAGTTGCAGCAAGAAACACTGCTTAACGAAGCTAAAGTAAGAAGCAGCTTAAACAATATAACTAAAACGGTTGAGCAAATAGCAAATGTAATTGTATAATTCCACATCACATACACCACCATTAAGAACATAAATTATGCCAGTAAAACAATGAAAAAAAACGTGAAAGTCACACCTCCCATTGCTCAAGGGCATAGGCATCTAGTTCCTCCGAGGTTGGAAGTCTTGCAATAACATTTGGAGGCATTGGTTCTCTCGGCAAAATCCCACTGCAAAATTATAATCCTTTATATAACTACTACAACAACACAACACAAGGAATCTAGCAATTAAGTGAGCAATAGAATTGACTTTAAATGAAGAAATACCAGATAAGATGAATAAATTTTAAACAGGAAAATTTGAAAGTTTTGCAAGTATGTAATTGTAAATTCATAATACATAACAGAGGCCAAAGTTTAGCCTGTTACATTTTGACAAGTGCAAAAGAAAATAAGTATAGTATAAACTAACAAAACAAGGAAAACTTACCCATATATCAAATGCTTCCGGAGACTAGTCTGAAATGTGGGATTTAACTTGTAAGTTGTTTCCTTCTTCCTACCAAAAGATAAAGATTGGTTAATCCAATCAGCACATACGACCAATTTCCTATTATGCACAGTAATAAGAAAAAAGAAACAAGTTTTTTTCCAGACTAAGCTTAAGCTGCTAGCCCCTTTATTTAAAGAGAAGATCCACAAAAAAGTAAGTAAATGAAGCCAAAAGCAACTGCAGTCGCTTACCGATCAATTACTTCAAATACTCTTAACTGAATCAACCGATCGATGGAAACCTTGTGCTTAGAGGATCCATCAGCAATCACCCACTCCTGCAACGACTTGGATGTTATTGGATCATCGATGTACAACATCTGTAGTACGTATTTCTTCGCCAGAGGCGGCAGCGACCTACACGATAAACAAACGACTCGATCGATTCAGAAATTGATTAGCCTCTCCAATGTTTATTATTAAAAGGGGAGAGACCTGAGAATGGCTTCGCAAATGAATTGATTACGATAGAGCATGTCCAGCTTAATGGCGGGCAACGAAGCCACCATGTCCATGAAATTCTTCGCGATTATCTTCACCTGAGGCATTTTCTTTCCCTTTCTTCTTCTTTCGATTTCTAGGGTTTTTGTTTTTGCCTACTGACGTACAATGGAAACTGGATTGAAATGACCCGAGAACTCGAATTCGAATCCAGCATTCATAAAATGAAAATTATTAGTTTTTCTTGTTCCCTCTGTAGTAGCGGCGCGCGAGCAAGCTATGAGAAAAAGCTCTATACGACGTCGTTGCAAGTAATGGGCCTACTGAACCGCCTAGCTTATTTTCACTTTCTTCATCTTTAGTCATCGATAATAGGTCAGCCGTGTGTGATAATAGTATTTAATAGAATGGCTAGCCTAAGGCTAAATTACACATAAATTACCATCAAAACTATATAATTTTTATAAAAAAAATAATACGTATCAAAGACTTATGTTAATATAATAACGTACGTATTAATATATTTTTTATATTATTTTAAATAATTTTATATGTGAGATTAGATTCATACATGTTACAAAATAAGTCAAAATTATTATTATTTAATATCATTATGAAATTAAATAGCTAGTTAATTATTTGAAACATTTAAATAAACTTATAAAATAAAATATATTATGATTTTAAAAATTATTAAACAAAACATGTCAACTGGACGAACATGGAAGATATGTTAACCTTACACTGTTAAGAATAATAGTGTTATTCATGCTCTTTGTTCGACTTGTGGTTTAACTCGCTCGTGTTTGCTTAAATTGCTGTCAATAGGTCGGATACTAATAGTTATACAATAAAAAGTTTTTTTTTTAAATATCTAAACCTTTCATGGAACAATTTACGGATTTCACGAGAATATCTACTCGGTCGCACCATTGTATCACAGGGACTTATCCCCTGCAGTTTGTTATTGTGTCCAGAACTTCATTACTAAGGATGAGCCACAATCAAATGCAATCAAAACTATACAGCAAAGTTTCATTTTCAGATAACAAAATTCCGAAAATTATCGAATCTCAACAATCTATCATAAACAAGATCGGAAGGGCATGTCTCGTTGATATCTCAGTGGAGAACCAGAAAACTAGACATGTTGGTTTGAAGGTTAACTAAGGCCACAAGGGAGGAAAAAAAGAAACTATGCTTATTCGCCAAAACAGCCCCAAGACAATGTCAGCCAATAATTGCATGCCTGCAACATGATGAATCTCCTTGCAGACTATTCAGCTAACAATTTATTGAGGTATAACTTATATTCATAATTTATGTTTTCACACCTGTTGTTATGCCATTGAGCTTGATTGCTTTTTGGTAGCTACACCAGGCTTACTGGCAGGAGGATTTAGCAGCTTCTCCTCTGAAGGACCAGTTGGTGTTTCTTCATCGTCGTCATCTTTACACAGCTCGAGCTGCAGTATATGTATAAAAACATCATCGCAAATCCAAGGCGACAAAGAAAGTGAATGACTAATCTTTCAAATACGATAGAATAAACCAACCTTGTAACCACAGCCAGCTAGACAAGCAGTGTAGCATTCCTGCATATAGGAAGAAAAATGAAATTATCAGTCATGGTTGTCCGAAAATAGTGCTTCTTTCATTATTTCCGAGTATACAATTGCCATGTGATACGAATTCCTATTGGTTATGCAATTGCATACACCCTTGGCATTGAACAGAAACTGAAACACTTTAACCACTTAGTTTAGGGTATATTGGAAAAAGTTGTCATTGTAACGGAATTTCCTATTTTGCACACTGAATTCAAGTATATATCCCACATTCTGTTTGAATTCATTGCCCTTCCAAAAACATTCTAAACCAGGACAGCGTTAGAGGGAGGCAGTGGCCTTGGACCCCCAAAAATGGAAAATTTATGCTTTAGTCCCTTTAGAAATTATAAAATCTTTGATTAATATAATGATAATATTGTATGTTGGCCCCTCCAAAAAAAAATTAGTTCAGTTTTGGCCCCGCCAAAGAGATTCCCCGCTTCATCTCTTTTCTGATTATAATCAAGTAGTATCAATAGTTATCAACTCTTAGGTGCAAAAAAAATGCATCAAAGAAAGAATATTACCGCATTACAACCAAATTTTGTGTGCCTCAACCTGTCTATACCAACAATCAATTGCAACCCAATAAGCTCCGAGTAACATAAGAGGAGAAACGCCCAACTTAAAAACTGCAATATAGTTTTCCTAGTACCAGCTTTGCATCGACTAAGTTTGCATAGCATCAGACGTTCAGAAGTTCATAAAAGATTAGCTCTCATTCTACAAAACAAGTCAGCTCATGAAGAGGAGACATAAGCCACCACATCACAATCTAATGGCTCACCAAACAGCAGTTCAATCATACTAAGCATGGAAAGTAGAAGTAAAAGACAAAATTCATGGTTTATGAGTAAAAATGCTAGGTAAAAAATGACTAAAATATTAAATACCTCAGATTGTTTGACAGCTCCAGGAGAACGATCAATGTAAGAACTCCATTGCTGATCCTTTAACACAGGAGCCTTATAGCATAAATCAGTGCACTCTGATATACCTGAAAAGCCCATGATGTTTAGCACTTTTAGATATATAATCAGCTGCCAATGTATATATTACTTTGCTACTGTATCTTAGTAATGTAAAGCTCTATGTCTATAAAGGTTGCTTAAAGAATTCTTCCAATTGATGAAATCTTTCTAAACAGAATAATCCAGATAAAACTAAATGCGTGACACATTAATCAATAGTGAACAATCATTCTCAATAGCCTATATAACAGTGCTGTGTACTGTCACTGTAGCTTCAATGACCTGCTTTGTCTTTAACTTGCCTCATCTTTCCTATAAGAAATGATGCTCAAACTATAATCAGAAACTCACCTAAATGAGACCTTCTGAGACTAATTCTTAGCAGATACGAATTAAGCATTGGAAATCCGAACATGGGACTTCAAAACACTGATGCTATGTTGCTCGGACTCCATCTTTCTAGAAGTAACTATGTGTGTTACTTAATTGACACATGTATATGGGGAAATGACCTCCAAGGATCCTCCATATACATGAAAAAATCAGAAAAAACTAATGATAGCCATGTCGGATATACACACGTATCCGACACTCACATCGGCAAGTAACATTGCACTGATGTTTGGTAATTATTTGACTAAACAAAACCAAATCCAATGTAACAGGAAATTTTTCCAAGGAAACAGCTTAGAAATTTCAAGCACAACAGAAACAAAACTGCTTACATTCTTCCCATGTATCTGCATCGTTGTCACATCCTTTTTTGCAGAACACTCTCCCTACAAGAAACTCACCATAGTTAGTAGGGTGAATGGACAACCAACACATGATCGATCTAAGTAAACTAAAAATCAAATATGTTGCAGCTCTATGATCATAACTTCATAATTTAATAACAGATGAATTACAATTACAATCAATACATCATAACAACTACAGTAAACAATTCATAGTACTATATACACACATATATCATACTATCATTAATTAAAACCGAAATTAAGGAACAAACATACATTAATTTAAAAAAGACCAGCAGATGCCAGAACTAAAATGCAACCAATTCAAAAGCTAAGTTAATTAAAAATAACGTAATAATCAAATAAATATATCTATTTTAACGGATATTGAAAAACTCGTATAATTTAAAAGCAGACAATGAAAAAAGAGGAATTTTACAAGGAATTTCGGTAAGACTGGTGTATTTCTTAGTGCAATGATTTCCACATTGCGAAGCCCATTGTTGAGGTAGCATTTTCTCTTTCGTTTTACCTTGCTTGCTTTCTTTTCTCTGTATCCAAACACGGCGCCTCCGATGATTCAAATTATAACTGTTTTTTGTTATAGAGAAAGGCGGTAATTAGCGACAGTTGGTTTATTCGTGGCAAAAACTATGCGTTTTCTGTTAGCCACTGGCTTATCACCACGTAATCTAATATTTAAATAAATATTTTAATAATAATAAGTGTTTAAGGTAATGGGTAAAATCAAATTACAAGCTAAAATTTAGCACACCCACTAGTTGTTTTTGTTTCCTATGAAATTTAAGGAATTTTAAGGATTTGTTTAGAATATTTTTTTAGTAGTAATTGATAGGTTAAACATATATATATCTTAATTTATTTTTAAAATTCACATAAAATATCAAATCTTCTTTTAAAAAATAGGTAATAAGGCTTTAATAGAAGATATAATGTCAAAACTCACATTTAAAATTTGATAAAATAGTCATTTTAATTTATATTTATTTTAATTATTTGAGTCATCTGAATAGATGTAAACCATTAAATAACTAATAATCTATGTATACTATTGATGTGAGACTGTCACATGTTTAAAGTAATGACGTAGTATATGTTAAATGTAAAAAAATAATGGCATAAAACATGTAAAGCGTTGAAAGTGATGATGCAATATATATCATATATTAAAAAGTGATGATGTGACATGTCATGTATAAAAAATAATAGCATAATACGGGATACATATCACATGTCAAAAGTGATGATGTGATATATGTCACATGTTGAAAAGAATGACATAGCATGACACATGACAATATTTAAAGTAAAAATGATGTGACATATGTTACATATCAAGAGTTGATAGTTAGTCAACTAACAATTTTCATTCAACTAGTGACCATTTTATCCTAATATGAAATGTTGAGGTCAAAGCACTTAAGAAAAAAGAAAAAGAATAAGAGTTAAAAGTGATTATTTAATCAAATATTAATAATATTTTTTTTACATTATACCTCAATAGAAATGGAGAAACCTATCGTTCATATGTCATTTTGGTAGGATTAAGATGATTGTGAAGTTAAGGTATTGGTTAGGGTTGAGTATGAGTTGAGTTGAGTTTTTAATCAATTGAGATTTGATTAAAACATTTTATTCTTTCACTCGTTATTCGATTTAACACATATTTAGAGATGCTCTATCAAACCCAAAATTTGGCTTAATTTTTTAAGGATAAAAACTCACATCTGACCCAACATAAATATATATAATGATATTTTTATTAGATAAAATAAGAACCTAATTGAAAAAACATAAAGAGAGATGTACTATTGCAATTATCTCTAATATATAATGAATAATTATATTATTTTTTCAGGTTAAATATTTTTTTACCTTAAAATCGAACTCGACCTTACCTGAATTAAACTTGATTTTTTAAAACAATTTTATAAGATCGAATCAAATTCAAACTCGTCGGATCCAAATCTTAGGTTTATCCCTAACCCTAGCCTTTGTCTATTGGAAATAATACTATTGCAAAATAAAAAAATATTAACAATGACACATAAAGTATAATAACTTAATTTCCAAAACATAAAGTATAAGGATTTAATTGTAAAATTTTAAAGAGTAAATCGACATATAAAATATTTAAACCAAATTTTAACCACTAATTCAGATTCATCTACACGTGTATCAAGGCGTGGATCTCTCTCTCCCCCCTCACTAACAAAAGCAAGATAGAGAAGTGGAAGTAGGGAAGCAGGAAGAGATATGGACTTGCTAAAATGGAATCTCTTTCCTCTGTTAGCGCTGCTCGCTTCTTTTCTTTTCCTTTTCTACATTCAGGATTCTTCCAAGGTATCTTCTGATGTTACTCTAATTCTTAAATATTTGTATTTTTTTATATGAAAAAATTGACATCGAAGAGAAATTGAACGGATGAAATGGAAATTTTCAGTTCTCTTGACTGTCTTTAGTTTCTGGTTTTGCTAGGATTGTGGTTTGAGAATCTCAAAACTAGAGGAGAATTTTGATGGATTTCAAACATCGTAATCATGAAATGATTATGTAATTTTAGCTTAGCTTTGGTTTGCTTTATGGAATGACTTAAGTTGACTTTCATCCTGGACCTGGTTCTCTTTGAGGCAATCTGTAGTTATAGATTATTGTTTTCGATATTGTAAATTGATCAATTGGTGAAACTAAAATTATGATTTTACGTTTGAGTTTGACAGCCATCTCAAAGTGGTTGCAGTCTTCTTCCTCATAGTCACTATTGGATTGCAAGCAAGCGCATTGTGACTCCACAAGGGATTATTTCTGGTGCAGGTATGTAATTTGACTGGTTTTGCATATGAGGATTTGTGAGAGGAAACATTGGAATCTAGTTTGTTGTGTTGTTGATAAGATCATTTTGCTGTACTTGGTACTTAATAGTCATTTTGTTTTATTTATTTTCTGAATGCTTTAATGGACAGTGGAGGTAAAGGGAGGGAATATCATATCAATAGTTGAGGACAAAGATTGGAATGGAAAATCTAAACAAGTACTTGATTATGGTAATGCGGTTGTCATGCCTGGCTTGATCGACGTGTAAGATGTTAGATCTTGTTTTCTTGACATTCATGCTACGTAATGCATTCACAATTTGTTCATTTCTTCAACTGTAAATAGATATCATAGCACTGTGCTTGGTAGAAAAGGAAAGAGGAAGGAAAGGGAATGGAACTAAAATCGAACTTTTCTACCATTTCCTTCGAGTTCTGGGAGCGAAAAAATAAGACTGTGGGAAAATGGGCGGATTTGCAGCCTTACTTTTGCTCTGATTTCAGTCCTTCCATGAATGGAAACCTATTCAGCTTAATTTTTTTCCTTCAACTTTACCCTTTAACCCCTTTCGTTCATTTTAGTTTCATCTTTAAGACCAAACACAACGAAGGAAAAATAGCTTACTTTCCTCTCGTTCCTTTTTTCTTTCTTCAACTTTTCTGTTTCCCTCCAATTTCCTTTCTTGCTATCAAACATAGTGTAAATTCTAAGCAATACTTGAGATAGATAAATGCTTAAGCATGGAAGTAGATGTGGTCAAAAGGAAAATTTACAGTGCTTACATTTTGTCCATGGTAGGCATGCACATCTAGATGATCCAGGTAGGGCTGAATGGGAGGGATTTCCTTCAGGGACTAAAGCAGCTGCTGCAGGTATCTTGCTTTATATGTATAAAGCATAATGAACTTGCACTGATGTCTCCTTTGATAATAAATACAAATTATAAATGCACCTTCTTTGAGCAAACTTTACAGTTCTCTAGTTTTTTTTTGGCTACCGAAAGCCTAAAGTGTTTATGATTGGATTTGGTTGTTCAGATAAATATGTTTTTCTTCCCTATTTTTCCTCTTTGATCAACAGATATATTCATGTGTTATTATTCCTTTGGTGTAGTGCTAACGGAATTTGGAATATTTCTTTCATGATTGTTTTGGTCTGCCACACTTTATGCACCTTAACTTTCTATAACTCTTTATGTGCAGGGGGCATTACAACATTGATTGACATGCCTCTAAATAACTTTCCTTCTACTGTTTCAGCAGAAACATTGAAACTCAAGGTATGCATAGTACATATATGTGGCAACCTAATTGATATGCTATATATAATCTATTTGAACAACTTTTTTTCTTGACAGATTGAGGCTGCAGAAAAGAGTATTTATGTTGATGTTGGTATGTTCCGTGAACTCTACCTTAATAAATCACTACTTCAAAGACTTAAGTCTAAAAAACTACCATTACCAGGCTTTTGGGGAGGTCTAGTCCCTGAAAACGCATTCAATGCAACAACTCTGGAAGCCCTCTTAGATGCTGGTGCCCTTGGTTTGAAGGTAAGCATCTAATGAGATGATTTAGCTATACATCATTTGCGTAGTTATTCCACCAATAATATATTGAAGGTTGTGTCTTTGTATTTTCTTAGAGTTAATAGTATTGTATGAATAACCTTGATGTCATGTCATGTATGAACTTAAGTGATTCCCAATTGATGGGTGTTGCTCTGGATCCTAGACATAATGTGCATTAAGTTGAGAACTTATTGACATCATTAGAACTTAACTCCCTTCTTTCTGAAACCTTTTTCCCCTTGCAAAGATAATGGGCGATATTCTGTAATAGTGTGGTTAATCATTTTTGACATTGAAATTTTATCCTACAACTTTTATGTTCTATCTTTGCAGTCTTTTATGTGCCCTTCAGGGATCAATGACTTTCCTATGACAGATGCTACTCATATTAAGGTTCGTTTCTGATTATTGAATTGCACTCAACTGATAATAATGCCGGTTTTCTTTCCTTTTGAACCAGAGCACATTTGCATAATTGCATTTCTGTCTCCTTTTTCTTTTTCTATGTTCTTTATTATTTTAATAATGCATAAATAGTAGTCTTTTGATGAAGTTATTTTAATCAATTTGTAAAAAATTGGTAATGTTTAGTTTATCTACTGTAATTCTTATCAATTTGCTACTTTAGGCTGGCCTGTCCGTATTGGCCAAATACAGGAGACCTTTACTTGTACATTCTGAGATTCAACCAGCTATCGAGAACCACTTAGAAATTGAAGATGATGGTGGTGATCCTCGATTATATTCAACTTATCTTAAGACAAGGCCGCCTTCCATGTAAGTTTGAATTTTCTATCTTTTTATTCGCTAGTAAGGGATGTTTAACTACTTTTACTTAGGGATGGTTCTATACATGTTTTGCACAAATTTGTTAAGCGTTAAATTCTGTTTCTTTACACTGTTTAGTTTAATCTTGATTTCTCATCCAGGGAGGAGGCAGCTATTAGAGAACTTTTGACTGTTACGAAGGACACAAGCATTGGAGGTCTGGCAGAAGGTGCTCATCTTCATGTTGTTCATTTGTCTGATGTCAGTTCTTCCTTAGATCTTATAAAGGTATTCATACTGGAAAATATCTCTAATAGAACTTCCTTGTTTAATCGTAGCCCTATTCTTCTCACTGCGAATAAATTAGTGCTTATGGACATTTCTGATATTGAACTTTCAATGTGAATGGATCAGGAAGCAAAAAGGAGAGGTGACAGCATAACTGTTGAGACTTGCCCTCATTATTTAGCTTTTTCAGCAGAAGAAATTCCTGAAGGAGATACTCGTTTCAAGTGTGCCCCACCTATCCGTGATGCAGCCAATAAAGAAAAACTATGGAATGCTTTAATGGTATTGCCAGCAATTTTTCTTGTGTAACTAGTTATCGTGTGTTCATTTTGTTAATACCGTCGCTTTTCTCTTCCAGGAAGGACATATCGATATGCTGAGTTCAGATCATTCACCGTCAATCCCAGAACTTAAACTCCTGAACGATGGTAACTTTTTGAAGGCTTGGGGCGGTATATCATCTATACAGGTCGGTAATTTTCCATTAAAAGAAAAACGATCTCAAGTAACTGTTTTCTTTATTCTGTATATAAAATTCTTATATCATCTTATGGTTACATCACTTTCTGAATATTACACTAATTTTCAAAGAAATTTGACTTGTAAATTACCATAACACTTAATAGTATCATCTCTCTCGCTTCAAGGTTGAAATCTGATGAATCCCACTTTTGTCTGTTTCATATTGTTATGCAGTTCCATCATTTTCTTGTGTTCTCTCTTTGATCATTATTTACTCTTACTTGGTAGTATAGTTGGTGGACGCTAATTGATAGCCTTTCAATTGAGACATCTGCAGTTTGTTCTTCCTGTGACATGGTCGTACGGACAGAAATTCGGAATAACATTGGAACAGTTAGTTTCATGGTGGAGCGAAAGGCCCGCGAAGTTTGCCAGATTGTATTCGAAGGTCAATTATCTTAAACCATGCTTTTACATACACAGTTCTATCGATTTTTCCTTTTCCGGTGCGCCATGAGTGAATGATCTAGAGAATGGTAACTACATTGTTTAGGGATCCATTACAATCGGAAACCATGCAGACATTGTTGTCTGGGAACCTGAAGTTGAGTTCGACCTGAATGAAGATTATCGAATGTTTGTTAAAAATCCGGTATGTATCTCACATTCTCTATTATCCCTTTCCATATATGATTCTTGTTCGTGTTTGGTTTGATTCTTAAGCCGGAATATGTTTCTCCCCTTTCCGAGTGCAGAGTATCTCTGCCTACATAGGCAAAAGACTTTCTGGGAATGTGTTGGCTACATTTGTAAGAGGGAATCTTGTGTACAAAGAAGGGAACCATGCTCTTGCTGCCTGTGGTTCAAAGATCCTTGCAACATAGAATTGCAAAAGGGGAACATCATTCTCGTTCTACATCGTTACTAGCAATGAATTTGTCAATTTTCGTCACACGATGAAAACAGAACATTTAAACAAAATAAACATGAATTGTACAATATGTTTAATAATACATGTATCTTCGTTTTGTGTATGATTTTGACACATTTAAAAGCTAGCGGATCATGACGGAATAATTTGGAGCATAATTAATATATTTTTAAAAAAAATTGAGAGGTTTAATGAAAATTTTGATACTTTTGTAAGGTTTAAAGTCACCTTTGAAGAAGGGAAGTGCATAGGTATTCAGCTGGGACATTTGGGAAAACACAGTAAGTTCTTCCAACCCCATCGAGAAAACTCAAGCGATACTGCAGATTGGAAATCGAAGCTACTTTGTCAAAAGGTGGGATGTAGACATTTATATTTGATCAAGTCTGTCCTGTCAAGCATACTGATTGACCAATAGCAATGCTTAAAAGCAACAAGATTGGCAAAATTCATGTGGTGGAAAATAGAATGGCTCGTATGGGTTACAGGAACGGATGTACATGGCTCTCTAGGGAGCCATTGCACACTAAATTTAGTTTAATTTGTTAATGGGAATAGAAAAAAATAAGTAAATTTGTATACCCAAAATTTTCTAGAATAGGCTATTAAAATTTTGAACCCCTATTATTTAGTTTCTAGATCCACCACCGCTAACAACGATAGGCAGTCCAAGATAATTTCACAGGCGACCAAGAAAACCCTGAACCAAATCCACGACAGCAAGTGTCAGCAACACATATTTTATCAAAGTTAACTCGTTGGCCAGGAACACGATTCAGACTCCAAATAAGCTAACAGACTCGATTAGAGAAGCAAACCGAAACGGCTAACAATACTAGTTTGCCTTCATTATCAATTGATCTGGCTGTCCAGTTTGATTTTTTCCGAAGAACCCCATCATTTCTGTTGTTTTCTTCTCTTGGAAACCGCAAACAAACCAGAAATTTTGGCCACCATTGCTGCATGCAAGGCTCTGAGCTGTGCTGCATGCAAGGCTCTGAGTGCTACATGCACAGACCCCAACGCCATCCGTTTTTTTTGTAACCTTGTGTATGGCACCATCATCATTTCTTTCAGTTACAAAAGCTACAGCGATTAGAGATAAGCTTAGTGTGTGCATTCAGTAAGATTCATGGGAAAAATGTTGGCGATTTTCGAGAAAGCAATCGGAAATCCACCGGAGGAGCTTGGACTTCCCTCGAGTGGCTTGGATCGTAAGAGAACTCGGGAAGATATCTCGGAGGCTTTCAGGTTGTTGTGGCCGGAGTCTACCTTTTACCACCTTTCAAATGGGAATTTCATGACACTGTCGCATGAATCTCGGAATCCTTGGCACCAAAGGTATTCGAATTTCGATCCCCCTTCATGTTTGTTTCGTTATTTGATTACGTCGGAATATGTAACAGCAGGTCCATGTTTGTCACGGATGACATCTTCTGCCTCTTCACCGGGACTCTGGTGAACATCTGCGAACTCAGGCGACATTATGGCTTGTCAAGACAAGCAATGGAAGCGATGCTCGTCGTCGATGCTTACAAGGTTCTTCGAGACCGAGCTCCTTATCCACCCGATCAAGTCATTAAAGACCTTGAAGGAAAATTTGCTTTCATTCTTTTTATGCTAAATCTAAAACCCTCTTAGTGGCCAGAGTAAGCTTAAAATACTTAACAAACCCTTATACTTTTAAAGTTAACAATTTGATCCTCTCGATGTTGCTCTGTTCTTGAATGCATTCTTTTTCTTCACTTACATAGTTTTCCCTAAACTTTATAACGTGATTTTATACAACATTGTTGATTAGGACCGCGAAGGAAGCTTTGAACTTAAATGGGGAATGGCTGGAGATGGCTCCCTGGTATTATCCTCTGCCTCATTTCCTCCAGGTAAAAAGTATTGGACCAATTCTGATTTTGGTCCCTCTACTATATCAATTTTTTTTATTTTAATATGACATGATTTGCTCTCAACTGTTTTTCATGATGTCACTTATCAGTATATTCATGTTGATAACATTGTTAACTGTCTTATATCAAATCTCAAACATTCCTACCCTTCATACATGGATATATACAAGGTATACCCTTCAAGTTGTGTTATTATTTGCAATATTGTTTACTTGTTCGACATTATCTTTCCGATTTATGGTACACTAAAACCGTAATTATAGGCTGCATTTTCATAAATGGCAACGGCCTCATAAGCGTTGATCATCCACTCCACAAGGTAAAAGCAACAACTCGTGAAGATGAAGATGGGAACATCTGTGGGGTAATGTTTCAAGTGGACTTGCTTACAAGATTCCCGAGCATTCCTCGTACAGGCAGTGCTACGAATTGGGCGGAAGCCGCCACCGCCGTCGAGGGACACTGAAAAACGAAGAAGCTTTTATCGAAACAGTCGGAGAATATCGTCATTTTGGTTTCGATGCGTTTAAATGGTGAAGCTGAGTAATTCGGACATAATCTGAATTCGGGGCCGTATGTTAATGCTGTTATGTGTTTCATGTTTTTGAGCTTTGCATGTGCTCTCATGTTGGCCTCTGTGTTGATTGGGGTTATATGAACAAGGTTTAATGCCCCTTTTGCAATAATAGTTAATATAGTTATCGTCTTGAGTAGAGAGGGTCATGCCTCAAGTTAGGTTTCCACGCTCAAGCCATAAAATATCAACCGACACCTAATTGGCAGCCTGTCAATCATCCCGAGATTTATTTTTCTTTAAGTATAAATTTTTATTTTTTTTATTTTAATTCTAAAATGTCTGTAAAATCAAATTTTAAAGTTCTACAGAGAAAGAGAATATATTTTTCTACCAAAATTCTAAAGGAAAAAGAATATTTCCCCCCCCCCCCAATTTGCTTGTAACTGTTGATAAAAGTTATTACATAGGGACTAACTCCAAAATTTAAACAAACTATAGGTACCAAACCATAATTTGATCTTAATTAAATGGCCTATTTTTCGTTAATAGCGTAGAAACAAAGCACGAAATCTAGGATCTGAAAAAGACCTAAATGGAAATAACTGTTCGACTCGGAGCTGAGGAACTATTCCGAGTGGCCTATGATAAAGGCATTAAGAAAGAACCAAAAAAGGTGGAATATTTTGGCTTTCTATAAGCGCCGTCTAGAAATCTCCACTCTATTTCTGTTTGAAACAGAGAAGAATAAACAAACTCAATAATCCAAACAACAATGGGTGGAGGTGGTACTGGTGGTTCAGTAAAAGATGTCAAATCAAAGGCTGAGCTCGATGGGTTGCGCCAGAGTGGCGCACCGCTTATCCTTCACTTCTGGGCTTCGTGGTGTGAGGCTTCAAAGCACATGGACAAAGTCTTTTCCCATCTCTCCATCGATTTCCCCAACGCTCACTTCCTTAGGGTTCCTCTTCTACTCCCTTTTTAAACCTCGAATTTCCGTGTTTGAGATTGAATGCTTTCTTTTTTTTCCGTTGTTTTTCTTCTCTCTGTCATGAAAAAAAATGTTTTTTGCTCGATGGGTGATGATTGTTGTTTTGCAGGTAGCAGCTGAAGAACAGCCTGAGATATCTGAGGAATACTCGGTTTCTGCTGTGCCTTTCTTCGTCTTCTTTAAGGTAAATATTTTGATGGGTGTTTTTTCTTTTTCAGTGTACTCTATTGATGGGATTAAATCTTTTATAATTTTGAATTAGAGTTGGCTATTTCTAAGTATATACTGATAAATAAGTAACCTTTATCGATTTTTTGTTGTGGTGTTGATTTGTAATAGTTGAATGATATTACTCTGTTATATGGCTGTTCCAGTAGAGGGTAAATTTTAAAGGTTGATTTCTTAGCTCTGCTTGTATGTACTGCTCCGGTCGCTGACGTTTTATATATGCGAATGCTAGCACAAAATAAAATTGTATTCTTGAATGCGTTTTAGACCATTATGTCGAGAAAAGAGCAAAAGATTTTGTGAAAATAATTGCCGAATGTTGTTGTCTGATACTTATTTTGTCGGTAACAAGGTCGGCAATTTTGATTAGTTGTTTCTTCTTGCATCGGAGATTTCTAGGTTATGAGACTTGCATTTGGTGTGAAGACTATTGTTCATTTAGTGCTAGTGACCATTGAATCTATCAATATATATATTCACCCTGAAGTTGATTTAATCCATGAATGTATATGATCGAATGCTAGTTGTTAAGTCAGTCTGATTACTTATTTTCTTGCGGAATCATTAGCGGCTTGTGATTGCATTTGACAATCCTAGGCTGAGAGTATTTCACTGGACACACACAGGAAGATTTTCTCTAGTTAGATATAGGTCATTCACGCAAGGGATCAGGGAAAGGAAATTTATGATCATAATAGACTGTAGTTTGTCGTAAATGGAAACATGGAAGGTAGGTTACATTTTGAGGAAAATGATTGAATGATAGATAATCTTCGTGGAATGCTACATGCATTCTAAGCTCATCTTAGCAGTAATAGAGAAGTGAATTTAACTAAACTTTCCCAGGAATGCACTTTCCATCTTGAATAAAGGCATCGATTATTCATACCGATAAGGCTGGCCTATCAAATTGTGTGCCTGTTCTTTTAATCTTGCCCTTTGATAAATTGCTCGAAGTTTTATTTCAGGGTGCTAGGTTTGGTTAGTATTCGATTTTTCTATTTAAACACTCTTGAAAGATGAGTAAGGTTGGCCATTTGATTGTTTCTGGCAGGATGGTAAGGTTTTCGATAAATTGGAGGGTGCAGATCCTTCCAGTCTTGCCAATAAAGTTGCCAAGGTTGTTGGGTTTATTGTCCCTGGAGAAGCTGCTGCTCCTGCCAGTCTTGGGATGGCTGCTGGCCCCACTGTCCTTGAGACGGTCCAAGATTTAGCAAAGGTAAATGGTTCATCCCAGACAGAAAATCAAGTGCAAACTGGTCTTGATGACAAACTTCAGAAGCGACTGCAGCAGCTGATTGACTCTCATCCAGTAATGCTATTCATGAAAGGAACCCCTGAGGAACCTAAGTGTGGTTTTAGCAGAAAAGTTATTGTTGCTTTGAAGGGTGAAAAGGTCAAATTTGGAACATTTGATATTCTATCGGACAACGAAGTTCGTGAAGGTTTAAAGAAGTTCTCCAACTGGCCAACATTTCCGCAACTCTATTGCAAAGGAGAACTTCTCGGTGGGTGTGACATAGTAATATCCATGCATGAAAGTGGTGAACTTAAAGAAGTTTTCATAGATCATGGAGTTGATATTGTTGGGAGTGGAGCAGGAACTGGTGGCACCGCAGAACCCACTGGATTAAGTGCAAACCTAAATTCTCGTCTGCAAAGCTTGATTAATTCAAACCCAGTTATGCTGTTTATGAAGGGAAAGCCCGATGAGCCCGAGTGTGGCTTCAGCCACAAGGTAGTTGAAATACTTAAACAAGAGAAAGTCGATTTTGGGAGTTTTGACATTCTCACAGATGATGAAGTTCGTCAAGGGCTAAAAGTTTTTTCAAATTGGTCAAGTTACCCTCAATTGTATATTAAAGGTGAACTTATTGGTGGATCAGACATTGCGTTAGAGATGCAGAAAAGTGGTGAGCTTCAAAAGATTTTAACCGAGAAAGGCATTGAGAAGAAAGAGATGCTGGAGGACCGTCTGAGAAGTCTGATTTCATCTTCACCGGTGATGCTCTTCATGAAGGGTACCCCCGATGCTCCTAGATGTGGTTTCAGCTCTAAAGCTGTCAATGCCCTAAACGAGGAAGGTGTGAGTTTCAGCTCATTTGATATTTTAACTGACGATGAAGTGAGACAGGGATTGAAAGTCTTCTCAAACTGGCCAACCTTTCCTCAACTTTATTACAAAGGTGAGCTTATTGGAGGTTGTGATATCATACTGGAGCTCCGGAACAACGGTGAGCTGAAAGCGACACTGTCCGAGTAAGGCAGGTTCAATTTGTTTAAAAATAAGACTTTGGGACAAAACCTTGAGTTCAATTCCGGACTTTTCAGTCATCCAAATTGAATGTTTGCCAATTTACAGTACTTGGAAATCTTTTTAATTTGTCGGTTTTAATTTACCTTCAAACTATCTCTACTGGTGCATTGAGTTGGTTAAGTAGAGCTCCTTGTATCCATGCACAATTAGCATCTTTGAGCATTGGTAAATGGATAGAACTATCAGTAGTTGGTTATATTTTGTTCTTAAGATTCATTTATTTTATTGAAAAATGTCGACAAAAGCATTGCTAACATTTCACTTGCAACATGCGTTTAGCATATTGCAAATCGAAGTTGTTAATATTTGTTCTTTGTTTCTTTTCTTCACTAGTTGAAAAATGAAGCTTGTTTCTCTTGCTCGACAATGGTATTTCCGAGCATTCTTGCCTCGACTTTTGGTAAATATCTCAGTTTCCATGGTTAATCCACCGGTGACGAGAGCTTTCTACTTACGGTGTGAGGAAGCCTTCTTTGACGTTGGAGCTCCCTCAACTTAGATTACCCTGTTCCTGGAGCTGCTGAAATCTACCAATTGATCCTTGACGACCAAAAGCGTTATTCCCTCAAAAGTAGAAATAAACAAAACAACAATGCCAAAAGAGATTTATGATTTACTACTATTGCCAAAAGAAAAGAAAATTCCGAATCTGGATGACTACAACGGCTAGCAGATGGAAAAACATACATAGATCAATGACTGATGAGGAACCAACCTATGGAAATTTAGCTGGACTTCATGGCTAATATCGTTTTTGTTTCTTCATCTTCGTTTATTTTATCAGCTTTCATGCGGACCAGAAGTTTATCCACTCTTTTACCATGTCTTATATTTGCCTTCAACAAGGCATGATACATTTTTCGATCGACCGGAATCGTTCTCCTCAACAACTCAACGAATTCTTCCGTGTCACGAACACTGCCTTCATCACCTACCCAATCCAAGATGCCTGTAACCACCCTGAAGTTCGGCTTCCACCCCTTATCCTCCCCTAATAAAGATAGGGCAGCTTTCATGCACTCAAAAGCTTTTTTCACCTGTCCTTTATCTAGGTAACTTGCTGCCAGGATGCCCCAACTATTAGGGGTGGTGGTCTTACCCTTTTCCATCAGATTTTCAAGCATCGCTTCTGCCTTTTCGTGTAGACCCCTTCTAATATACCCAGCAATGACAATATTCGGTATTCGAAGATCATAACAGTTGCCAGATGATTCCCACTCCTTGAGTACTTTCTCAGCTTCTTCCAACTCATCAAGCCTCACTAGAGATTGCAGCATAGTAATGAAGTCCTTGTTTAAATACCTTTTACAAGCAGCTTTCTCTAGACCCCATAATCTCAAGACCTCGGTTTTATCTCCCAAGCTTGCATATAGTGATATTAGATGATTGTAGCCGGTTCCATCTTTATTATCTAGCTTCTGTTCGGATTTTTTCAGTTGATCGATTGCCTTTTCAGTAAGGCCTGCTTTTATGTAGAAATTGGCAACAACAGCATAAGTGTTCCAATCCATCTTAATGTGAGGTTGGTTTTCCATTTCTGTTAAAAAAATTTCCATTCCCTCGAGATTTGACATCAAACCAACGGAATTGATGCAAATTCTGTAACTGAAGTTGTCGGGGGAGACATTCTTCTCTTTCATCTCCCTCATCACATCAGGAACCTTCTCATGCTGTCCAGTATTCGTGTAAAGGCACATAATATCATTGTAAGTAAGAGCTGTCGAGGCAAAACCCAATTCTTTCATTTTCCGCAAATGCGAGAGGGACTTGTCTGTCTGTCGCTGACGCACATAACAGTTCAGAAGAGCACCATACGTCTTATCGGTTTTATCTTGGTCCTTCAATCCATTAAAATAGCTTTCTGCGGTAGCGAATCCTCGAACTTTACCGATGAGATCCAATTGCACGGCATGTTCAGTAGGTGAAAAGGCACAAAGACCCTTTTTATTCATCCATTCGGAAACCTGGACCCATTGGACATCAGAAAGTAACAGAAAAGAAACAAATTTAGCCATAATCTAATGGTTTGAAGTTTGAAGATTCAATTACAAACTAAAATAGCAACTCCATAACTCGAAAGTTTCATGCAAATATGTACCAAACACCACCCAGAAAAGCATCAAGCGACTAGCCACAATCAACCTTAAATAACAAGTTTATATTTGCAGGTCTAGAAACAGTTCACATTCATTCATCCACCACTTTAGGCAACAATGTGGAGCATTCAGCAACGATCGAAACAATTATATCAATAGTTGAGAATCTAATCAAATATTACAAGGATAGATCAAAATGACTAACTTAAACTAATTCAGTCGAGTAAACCAATCAATCTTTCAAAATCGTGACTTTTTTCTCTCTTATCTGCTATGTTCATGATTCCATTCAAATACATACTAAATTTTGCAGATCGAGAGTTGACTCTAGAAAACAAAGCCTCACATTTTACTCAATCATCACCATTGCATCAGCTATCCGATTTCGACATTATTTCAAATCAATAATTTCCTTATTTTCAAATAATTCGAATTATGAAAACAAATCTCGGAAACTAGTTGGCGCTGATGATATCAAAATATATCTTGGCTGTTTAAAGCAGAAAATTCAAGTCAACAGCATCATTCAGTTTTCACGAATGTTCCACTACCTAATATGATACCATCATGAAAAGAAACCCAAACCTGAAGAGCTTGAGTGAAGCGTTTTCGCTTCCGAAGATCTTGAATGATGCGTTGCAGCTCGGCGACTCGAATGTTGTTCCCATGTTTGAGCCAATCTTCAAGCTCAGCTTCGACGCTTTTGTCGGGGCCTCCCAAAGGACTGATTCTGGAATACAGAGTGGCTTTATTGACCCTGTTTGTATAATAAAATCGGCTAAAAAATCCACATGGAGCTTGGGATTTTGAGTTTAACAACAGCCTTGTGGAGTTCATGCTTGTCTTCTGGGGATATTAGCAAAGAAACGAAACGAAATATGATATTGCTTTTGGAAGATCCTTCGAGTAGGGTTTATGAGATATAGGGGGTTAATGAATATGGGCCTTGTTTCTCACTAAAGGTTTAAGATGTTGGATTTTTATATAAAATGGGCCTCAGAAGATGAATTTAGAATTTGTTTAGTTTGATTCAAAATTTCATAGTAGGATTCAATTGATAAAGAAATAAATTATAAGAAGAAAAAAAAATATACATTTGTGATGGATATGGAAGTTTTTGTTATGTGATAAAAAATATATACGATAAGGTGTACAACGTCACTATTTTTAAACTTTATTATTTATCTTTTTCTTTCTGATATAAGATTAATATCTCTCGTAGATGAGACATTTTCTCATACTCAATCTCGTCACAACTGTCCACTCTACCTATCATATCTATTGAGATGTTCGGTATAAAACCAGACAATTAAAGAGTTATTTTGATACCACTTGTCATAAGATCACTATTCTCTTCCCAAAAAACATATTTAGTAGAGTGATGATAATATATAATGTTATCGTTTTAAACCTCGAGATATTTTTTTTATATGAAATTAACACCTTTCGTCTGTCTAATTAAAATTAGAATCAATTTAAAAATCTCATATAATATCAATATTATAATAATTTGATTTGACCAGATGAGCTACAAACAATGAAACCCTTTTTCGTGGTTTTGTTTTCCATTTTTGTTCATTCTCTCAATCAGACAATCACCAAACGATAACAACCTCTGACTACGAAAGAAAGAAGATCAAGAGAAAACAAATCAAGCTAACCATATAGTCCCCTAGCAGTGCTGGTTTCATGCTGATTACTGTCGGTTCCCGTGTGTTGAGCAAGACAATCCAACAGCTTAATGTGCAGAGCTTTGAATCGAGCTATTTGGGTCTGCAACTCCACCTTCTCTCTCCTTAGATTCTGGTTCTCATCCATCAGTGTTCTATGATGAACATTCGTTTCATCATCAAGACTGCCATTAATGATCCGGTGATGATGATGATCTTCATCAGACGAAGAAGAAGTCTTCAGGAAGGCAGGGAACACACTTGGCTCGCTCTTCTTTCGTGTTATGTCCACTAGCATTTGCTTGTAACCTCTCTGGAACTTCTCGTGCTTGAATTCCCATCTTCTTGATGATGTTTTCTTAAACCCCTGTTAATTATACGTTCAAAACACGAAATTTTGAGCTCAAGCCTCGACATGATCCGTTGCGATTGTAATAGTACAAGTATAATAATAATAAATATAAAACAATATTAAAATTTAACGTAAACGCTTGTATTTGTATTTGCTTTCTGCAGAGACCATGAATCAGAAACCCTAATTGTAGAACTTACAGGTGGTTCATCTGGATACAACGGAGGAAGAAAATTGTAACCCCCTAGACCCGGCCTATGCGTTTCGACTAAGTCTAGTGGATCACATTATAATTATTAAAGACATTTTTCGCAACCGTTATCCCATCAATATAAAATCACATTATATAAACATGAAATTATAAACAATTTATACTATCAAAAACCAACTCGTAAATATAGTACAAATAAATAATAATTTAATTTAAAACATGTCTTCAAATTCAAAATCACAATAAACCGAGCAGTAGTAGCAAAAGTGTTATCATTATAAAATCCGATATTTTAAAATAAGGTCCATGTCACCAAAATAAAGTAAACTTGCCAGATAAAAACATTACAATCTGATTTACTTCAAGAGATATGTTGATCCTCCAAGTGCTCGAACCAAGGTATCTACCCAACAGTATCTGAAAGGGGAAAACATTTTCAAAAGGTGAGCTAGGCTCAGTGTGTCCCAACATTTCCATAAAATCACAATAGGTACAAATCATAGTCCAGTAATCTCACAAATTCGTAAAAGAGTTTAACTTTTTGAAAATCATAGTTTAAACCCTTTTCTGGTACACCATCAGTAGTTCCCAAAATTATTTTCCATATAGCTTACTTTATGCACATAGCAAAAAGAAAGCCGACTTAAGGATAGGCTCTGAAGCTTGTATCCTTAAGCCCAAGTCAATAAGTCCATATAGCTTACCCTAAGCACACAGCAAAGGAAAGCCGACCTAATGAAACATCTTGGGGCCCTCAAGAGTCACATTAGGCCCAGTTAGCTGATCAGAGCTATTCCATCGTATTTCAATTCCAAAATTCAATTGCACCGTGACATAAACTCCATAAATCCAAAAACATAGTAATCATATACTATTTCAAAACAAAAATTAGATAGCAGCCATATTCCATAACTTGTCACATTAAATTGGTGCATCCATAAAACAATAGCCAATGAATTCGGTGTACCACGTATTAAAACCAATAAAACAATTCAATAACAAGTAGGGAACACACCTCGACAATAGATTCAAATAACAAATCTACTGATTGCTGGTTTCACCACGCTCTGCTACAATTTTCGAACGGGTGAATACTGGCACACGTGGTTTAACTGATCTAGAAGAGCTGGGTCGAGCTGTCGAACGATCCGGAGAGTCTCTTGTACCTTCAAACAATAATATTTATCAGTCTCAAATCCTATTCAATTGTTCAAAGCTAAACTTCTTAAGTATATACGCATTTTTCGGGTTTGACTATCAATTTGAGGTATTTCGAGTCTGAATTTGGCCAAACGGATTACGGAATCGGAATCAGGGCGTCGAAAAACATAAAGTATGACTTTTCGAAAATTCAAATTCTTGGTCAAAGTCAAAGTCAACCACTTTGACCGTAAATTTGGAGACCTTCGGATTCGAATTTGACAAAACGGACCACGGAAACGGATTCGGCACGTCGAAAACTATCAGGATAGGTATACTCGGAAAAGATTAACGGTCGTTTAATGCTCCGTCAAAGCCATTTTAAGTTTTGGTCAAAGAAAGTCAACGGTCAACGGTCAACGGTCAACGGTCGGGTCGGGTCGGGTCAACGGTCGGGTCGGGTCGGGTCAACGGTCGGGTCGGGTCGGGTCAACGGTCGGGTTGGGTCAGACCGGTCAAACCGGTTCAGACCGGTCAAACCGGTTCGAACCGGTTAAACCGGTTTCCAGCAGCCACTCGCCCTGCGGCGGCGCGTGTGGCGCGTGAGGCGTCCTCCGGGGCCCTAAAAATCCCGGAAAAATTTCTAAAAATTATTTTGAGCGATTTCAAGATACTTACAACGATCGGTTCAAATTTTTGAACGGCGGAGAGCTCGATTTCAAATCGGCCGAATCTTTGACTGCACCAACTCCCCACGCGCCGCCGTCTACGGCGGACAAGGTTGACACCGGTGAACTCGGAACGGCACAAGGAACACGATGGTGCGGAGGTGTCGTAAACAGAGCAACGATCAGCGGTGAATTTAAGATTTTCTCGGCGATAGAGCTAACAAAACCGTCGCTACTTTGACTGAAAATTCCCGACGTTTGGCCGCGTTTCGCTTCAATTAATTTGAAGGTTTTGCTCCTCGCTCGATGATGAACACAACGGTGGTTTCAAAACAACGATCGGAATTCGGACGGCGTCGGAATCGAGTTTGGAAGTTGTGTGCGTGAGGAAGAATTTCACAATTGTTTTCTGTTTTGAAAACAGAAAACCATTCATATGTTTATATGAAATTTTCTGCCGACACTAAAAGGAGTAATGCAGGGCTTGGTCCCTGAATTTCCTTTAACTTCTAAAATGGCCTACAATTTTGAAAACTTTCGATTTAATCCTCAAAATTTTGCCAAATTACTTAATTAAATTTTTTTTTTCTCTAAATTTTATTCCGGGTTGTTACAATTCTCCCCCTCTACAAGAAATTTCGTCCTCGAAATTTACCTTATGAGAATAGTTGAGGAAACTGAGCCTCCATTGACTCCAATGTCTCCCAAGTAGCTTCTGAGGGGCCTCGATTACTCCATTGAACTTTGACCATTGGAATTCGCCTATTCCGAAGAACTCGTTCATCTCTCTCCAAGATCTGAATGGGCTCCTCTTCATATGACAAATCAGGTCTCAGCTCTACTTCTTCAACCTGAATAATGTGACCTGGATCTGGACGGTATCTCCTCAACATTGATACATGAAAGACATCATGAATACGACTTAGCTCAGAAGGCAACTCAAGCTGATATGCAACAGGTCCTACCCTCTTCAAGATACGAAATGGTCCAATAAATCTTGGACTCAATTTACCCTTACGCCCGAATCTTAATACTTTCTTCCAGGGTGAAACTTTCAAAAAGACCCGATCTCCCACTTCAAACTGTATATCCTTCCTTCTTTGATCTGCATAAGATTTCTGCCTATCAAATGCCTCTTTCAGACGGTCACGGATTAATCTGACTGTGTCCTCCGTCTCTCGCACTAACTCAGGTCCCAACGTTTTCCTATCACGCAACTCAGTCCAACAGATCGGAGTGCGACATTTACGCCCATATAGTGCTTCATAGGGTGCCATACGAATACTGGTCTGATAACTGTTATTGTAAGCAAATTCAGCCAACGGCAAAAAGTTCTCCCAACTACCATGAAATCGATTACGCAACCCCGCAACATATCCTCCAAAATCTGAATTACTCTCTCAGATTGACCATCAGTTTGTGGATGAAAGGATGTACTATAATCCAATCTTGTTCCCAAAGCCGTATGTAACGCCTTCCAAAATCTCGAAGTAAATCTCGGATCTCGATCAGAAATAATAGACAATGGAACACCATGCAATCTGACAATCTCTGAATATACAATCTTGCCAGCTTATCCAAAGTATAATTTACTCGCACAGAAATGAAGTGAGCTGACTTTGTAAGTCTGTCAACAATCACCCAAACAGAATCTTTTTTCAAAGGAGTCATAGGCAAGCCAGTAACAAAATCCATAGTAATACGCTCCCATTTCCATTCAGGAATCTTGATAGGCTGTAACAAACCTGATGGATGTTGATGTTCTGCCTTAACTTGCTGACAAGTCAAACACCTAGCCACAAAGTCAGATATGTCTTTCTTCATACCAGTCCAATAATACCTCTCTCTCAAATTCCGGTACATCTTATCTCCTCCGGGTGCATAGCATATGGACTACTATGAGCCTCAATAAGGATAGTCTGCCTCAATTCAGCATCATCAGGCACACAATATCTACCTTTAAAACATAAAACTTCATCATAATCAATTGCGTAATCTAAGTTTGTCCCCTGCTCTACTTGCTCAAAGATGGAAAACAAGGAGCTATCAAGGGGCTGTTTAGCCTTGATCTCATCAACCAAGGTCGGCTTAACTTGCAATTCTGCTAACAAAGTGCCATCGTCATATAAATTCATCTTGGCCATTAAAGACCTCAACTCCGATACCGTCTTTCGACTCAAAGCATCTGCTACAATGTTAGCTTTACCAGGGTGGTAATCAATCACGCAATCATAATCCTTTAGAAGCTCTAACCAGCGACGCTGTCTCAAATTAAGTTCCTTCTGGGTCAGAAGATACTTTAAGCTCTTATGATCTGTGAAAATGTAACACTTCTCTCCATAAAGATAGTGTCTCCAAATCTTCAAGGCAAAAATTACTGCTGCCAACTCTAAATCATGAGTAGGATAGTTACTCTCATGCGGCCGCAGCTGACGGGATGCATAAGCCACCACCTTACTTTCCTGCATTAAAACACAACCAAGTCCTGAATGTGAAGCATCACTATACACTGTAAAATCCTTTCCGGACTCCGGTTGAATCAACACAGGTGCTTGAGTCAAAACCGCCTTTAATTTCTCAAAGCTCTCCTGTTGTGCCTCACCCAAGTCAAACAACACATTCTTCCTTAACAACTTTGTCAAAGGAGAAGCAATGATCGAGAAGCCCTCAACAAAACGTCGATAATAACCAGCCAAGCCCAAGAAACTGCGGATTTCAGATACGTTCTTAGGTCGTTTCCAATTCATAATGGCCTCTATCTTGCTGGGATCAACCTGAACACCTCGCGCAGAAATAATATGCCCCAGAAATGACACTTCTTGAAGCCAAAACTCACACTTACTTAGTTTGGCATATAGACGATGCTCTCTCAAAGTCCGCAGAACGATCTTCAAATGCTCGTCATGCTCTGCCTCAGTACGAGAATATATCAGAATATCGTCAATGAAGACCACCACAAATTGATCCAAATATGGTCGGAACACCCGATTCATCAAATCCATAAAAGCTGCAGGAGCGTTCGTCAAACCAAAAGGCATCACTAAAAATTCATAATGACCATATCTAGTGCGAATGGCCGTTTTTGCAACATCAGATCCTTTAACTTTCAATTGATAATACCCCGAACGAAGATCAATCTTAGAGAATACAGTAGCTCCTCGCAATTGATCAAATAAGTCATCAATCCTGGGTAATGGGTATTTATTCTTGACCGTCATCTTGTTCAATTTCCGATAGTCAATACATAATCTTAGCGACCCATCCTTCTTTTTCACGAATAGAACTGAAGCTCCCCATGGTGAAGTACTATGTCGGATAAATCCTCGATCGAATAATTCTTGCAATTGGACTTTCAACTCCTTAAGTTCCTTTGGAGCCATACGATAAGGTGCCATAGAAATAGGTGAAGATCCTGGATAAGTCTCAATCTCGAACTCTACCTCTCTATCAGGAGGTAACCCAGGCAACTCCTCCGGAAAAACATCAGGAAACTCGCTAACTGTACAAATCTTCTCGATCGTGGACAATGCACATTTGGTGTTCAAAATACAAGCAATGAAGGTCTCATATCCCTTCCGGATCATACGATCAATTTCCATCACTGAAACTATGTTGGAGAGATAACCACGCCGTTCACCAATTAACACAACAGTCCGACCATCTGAAGTCTTCAGAGTAGCCCGCTTGTATTCGCAATCCAGCTTTACCTTGTGTTTATTCAACCAATCCATTCCAAGAATTATATCGAACTCCTCTAAAGGAAGCTCCATAAGATCAGCGAGAAAAATTTCTCCCTGAACCTCGAGAGGACAACGTCGGAATACTTTATTCACTAATACCGCTTGTCCTACTGGACTTGTAACTGTAACAGTATTTTCAGTGTTCTCGATCGGAATCTGAAGGTTTCGAGATACTGAGCTCGATACATAGGAGTGAGTGGAACCATTGTCCAATAATGCAAAGTATGGGGTAGAATAATAGTAAATGTACCTGCAATAACCTCAGGCTCATCTCTGTCATCACGACGTCTAGTTGCATAAACCAAAGCTGGTTGTCTAGCCTCAGAAGCTGTTGGCCCTCTATTTTGCTGAGGTCGGGCTCTACTGTCTGTCCTGGATGCTGATCCTCGAGTCTTTCCTTGACTACGATCTCTAATTGGGGTCTGTACTGTAGTCTGCGAACGCACAGGAGTTTGGGTAGTGGTCTGCTCAAACGAAACTAACTGAGGACAATCCCTCCGATAATGACCACTAGATCCACACTGATAGCAAAGACCCATCTTCTTACGACACTCTCCTGAGTGTTGTTTATCACAATACTCACAAAGGGGCCCATTATAATACGACGAGGAACCGCCTCGACTGACAGCTAAAGGTGAGGATGCTGCAGGCCTGAAACGTGTATTGCTTCTATGAGGGGCTGAAGTACGAGTCCTCTTTCCGGACTGTGCTGATGACTCCATCGGGCCTGAAAATTTCTTAGATCGATCTTGATCAACACGCTCTCTACCAGAAGCTAAAAACTCCACCTCTTCCGCATCTTTGGCTCTGCCCACCAGCACATCAAATATCTCATCCTGATGGGTTACAACTTGCCTACGCAGCTCGTATCTGAGTCCAAGGGCAAATTTACGACATCGATCTCTCTCTGTAGGTACCATACTGAATCCATACTTCAGCAATTTCAGGAACTCGATCTCATATTCAGAAACAGTCATGTCTCCCTGAACCAGGTCTTGAAACTGTTGTCGTCTCTGAGCTAAGTAGCGCTCTCCCAGAAAACGGCTCCGAAAGCGATCCTTAAAGAAATTCCAGGTCAAACGATCGGTAGGAACACTATTGGTCACTGACTCCCACCAAGTGTCGGCATTGCCATCTAACATCGCCACAGCACCCTGATATCTCTTAATTGAGTCCAAACCCAACTGATCCATGCGTCTCTCTGTATCCTGGAGCCAATCCTCAGCTTCAGTAGGAGCTCCACCTATCTGTCCCCCAAAAGTTCTAACTCCATTGGCAATCAAAGTCTGCGAAATAGGAACCTCAGATACAACACCAGTAGCTCTGACTGCTCCCTGTATTAACTGCAGAAATTGTCTACCAAAATTCTCATCCAAAGCAACTCCGGTAGACTCTAACTCAATATCGGTCGCTCCTATTATCGGTGTAGTCATGCCAATACCAGCGGCAGGAGGCAGATCCGTTGGGGTCGTAGGAGCATGATCACCTATCGGAGGTGGGGGATCTACCCGTATCTCATCGATCGGATCTGCGAATCTAGCCACTCGACCTCATCCACGGCTAGTTCGACGACTACGTCTAGCACTCATTTTGATGGATCTCAAGTTTACTACAGAAGATAAAACTTAGGGTTAGATAAGCACTTGGAGTCTCAAATATAGTTAAAATCTTAATAACTTTGTGACATGGCCTTAGTAACTCGTTTTGTAAAATATTTCAAAACCGTATTTTCAATGTGGACTCATACACAGTCCGAGGGTTAAAAACCAAAAGCTCTGATACCAATAAATGTAACCCCCTAGACCCGGCCTATGCGTTTCGACTAAGTCTAGTGGATCACATTATAATTATTAAAGACATTTTTCGCAACCGTTATCCCATCAATATAAAATCACATTATATAAACATGAAATTATAAACAATTTATACTATCAAAAACCAACTCGTAAATATAGTACAAATAAATAATAATTTAATTTAAAACATGTCTTCAAATTCAAAATCACAATAAACCGAGCAGTAGTAGCAAAAGTGTTATCATTATAAAATCCGATATTTTAAAATAAGGTCCATGTCACCAAAATAAAGTAAACTTGCCAGATAAAAACATTACAATCTGATTTACTTCAAGAGATATGTTGATCCTCCAAGTGCTCGAACCAAGGTATCTACCCAACAGTATCTGAAAGGGGAAAACATTTTCAAAAGGTGAGCTAGGCTCAGTGTGTCCCAACATTTCCATAAAATCACAATAGGTACAAATCATAGTCCAGTAATCTCACAAATTCGTAAAAGAGTTTAACTTTTTGAAAATCATAGTTTAAACCCTTTTCTGGTACACCATCAGTAGTTCCCAAAATATTTTCCATATAGCTTACTTTATGCACATAGCAAAAAGAAAGCCGACTTAAGGATAGACTCTGAAGCTTGTATCCTTAAGCCCAAGTCAATAAGTCCATATAGCTTACCCTAAGCACACAGCAAAGGAAAACCGACCTAATGAAACATCTTGGGGCCCTCAAGAGTCACATTAGGCCCAGTTAGCTTGATCAGAGCTATTCCATCGTATTTCAATTCCAAAATTCAATTGCACCGTGACATAAACTCCATAAATCCAAAAACATAGTAATCATATACTATTTCAAAACAAAAATTAGATAGCAGCCATATTCCATAACTTGTCACATTAAATTGGTGCATCCATAAAACAATAGCCAATGAATTCGGTGTACCACGTATTAAAACCAATAAAACAGTTCAATAACAAGTAGGGAACACACCTCGACAATAGATTCAAATAACAAATCTACTGATTGCTGGTTTCACCACGCTCTGCTACAATTTTCGAACGGGTGAATACTGGCACACGTGGTTTAACTGATCTAGAAGAGCTGGGTCGAGCTGTCGAACGATCCGGAGAGTCTCTTGTACCTTCAAACAATAATATTTATCAGTCTCAAATCCTATTCAATTGTTCAAAGCTAAACTTCTTAAGTATACGCATTTTTCGGGTTTGACTATCAATTTGAGGTATTTCGAGTCTGAATTTGGCCAAACGGATTACGGAATCGGAATCAGGGCGTCGAAAAACATAAAGTATGACTTTTCGAAAATTCAAATTCTTGGTCAAAGTCAAAGTCAACCACTTTGACCGTAAATTTGGAGACCTTCGGATTCGAATTTGACAAAACGGACCACGGAAACGGATTCGGCACGTCGAAAACTATCAGGATAGGTATACTCGGAAAAGATTAACGGTCGTTTAATGCTCGGTCAAAGCCATTTTAAGTTTTGGTCAAAGAAAGTCAACGGTCAACGGTCAACGGTCAACGGTCGGGTCGGGTCGGGTCAACGGTCGGGTCGGGTCGGGTCAACGGTCGGGTCGGGTCAGACCGGTCAAACCGGTTCAGACCGGTCAAACCGGTTCGAACCGGTTGAAACCGGTCAGAACCGGTTGAAAACCGGTTAAACCGGTTTCCAGCAGCCACTCGCCCTGCGGCGGCGCGTGTGGCGCGTGAGGCGTCCTCCGGGGCCCTAAAAATCCCGGAAAAATTTCTAAAAATTATTTTGAGCGATTTCAAGATACTTACAACGATCGGTTCAAATTTTTGAACGGCGGAGAGCTCGATTTCAAATCGGCCGAATCTTTGACTGCGCCACCTCCCCACGCGCCGCCGTCTACGGCGGACAAGGTTGACACCGGTGAACTCGGAACGGCACAAGGAACACGATGGTGCGGGAGGTGTCGTAAACAGAGCAACGATCAGCGGTGAATTTAAGATTTTCTCGGCGATAGAGCTAACAAAACCGTCGCTACTTTGACTGGAAATTCCCGACGTTTGGCCGCGTTTCGCTTCAATTAATTTGAAGGTTTTGCTCCTCGCTCGATGATGAACACAACGGTGGTTTCAAAACAACGATCGGAATTCGGACGGCGTCGGAATCGAGTTTGGAAGTTGTGTGCGTGAGGAAGAATTTCACAATTGTTTTCTGTTTTGAAAACAGAAAACCTTCATATGTTTATATGAAATTTTCTGCCGACACTAAAAGGAGTAATGCAGGGCTTGGTCCCTGAATTTCCTTTAACTTCTAAAATGGCCTACAATTTTGAAAACTTTCGATTTAATCCTCAAATTTTTGCCAAATTACTTAATTAAATTTTTTTTTCTCTAAATTTTATTCCGGGTTGTTACAAAAATTGTCGGAAAAGAACAGTCCATCGCGGTAGGGCTGAGCTGCTCGTAGTAGATCCGACCTTTCCTCGTAAACGCGGACATAGATGGTTTCTGCTCAGCTCAAAAATAGTCTCAAGAACTAATATCAAGTAAATGGCTTTAAAATTAAGGGTAAGCTATACTGATGTATCTCTGGACTTTAGGGTTCTTTCACTTGGGTCACCATACTTTCTGCTTTATGGTCTTGTCTTTTTGCACAATTTCTGCAAGACTCTAAATTTCTCCGAGAAAGAAAATTTTAAACTTTATAGTCTAACATGCCGATAAATTTCACACAAAAATTGGATTTTTCTTAAATTCTGGCTCAAAACCAATAATCTTACATACATTTCAAAAGGACCCAAATTGCTAATTCACAAAATATAGTACACTTTCCAAATGTAAATTCTAATCATATTTTTCTCCCCAAGAGTAAACCAAAAAGAAAACCCAGGAAAGAGCCAATAAAATATCGCCAACCGTTTGCCTAACCGAGTCCCAGGCCAAATCCTCCACTCTTCTCTCGAACCAGAACCGCCACACGGCCATGAAAACGTGCAGAAAGGTGCAGCCTTTGGCGAAGAACGATTGGAAATCCATGTCTTCGACGAAGGAGACCATGAACAGCAAGAACCCGATGGCGAACAGGAGCAGACCCGAGAAGGAATCGGAGGTCCGGATCAAAAGCTGGTCGTGCGGGGTGGAGCCGAGGAGCTTTGTGGCGGTCTCGATGCCGTGGGTGAAGGTGTAGATTTCCTTCATGCGGAACATCATGAAGGCGCCGCTTGATAAGGCGATGACCGAGTGGAGGAGACAGATCAGCATGAACGCCGACGACGGCGGTGATGGTGTTCTTGTTGACATTTTCGTGGGGTTTTAGTTTTTTTGCGCTCTCGAAATTCGACCTGACAGGCGGTTGTTAAGGGCTTGTTAAAATAGGCACGGTTGTAGGGGAATAAAACTCTAACTCTAAATTCATATCAGGAAGCAAAGACTAAACGTAGAAGAAGAAGACAGGAAGGAAGAGGGAGAGATGAAGGTTTTTCTTTAGTTTTATCGTGTTCTATTTGAGGTCTAATTATGGTTTTAGTCCCTGTACGATGTGAAATGTAGGATTTAATCCATCTGTTAAAATTTAACAGATCTCTACTTTTTAATATTATCAGTATACCAAAATTGATAACGAAGAGATTCATTAATTTATCGAGTGATTAAAAGTATTCTCATTTTATATATTTTTAAATCTTGATATTTGTTTTGAAAACTTGCTAAAATGAATCTTTTCGAAATAATCTTAAACACAAATAACATATAATTTATTTTGGTCGAACATATTAATTATAACTTTACATAATATTAGTTATGTGATAGAATAATATGATGTTTTCTGTTATATCTATTAATGAAAGTCTTAAAGATAGGGACCTAATTAAACTAAAACAAGGTATATATGTTAAATATAATTTTCAGAATAACAGAGAGACTACTATCAAAATTAAACCACTTAATTTACTATTACTGTTTTTGAAAGATTCTGCCGAGCTGGGTTTAACATAAGATAAGGATCTGGTGGGGCCGCGGGGTCCACCTTGAACTGGAATAATATGCTTTTACTTCGTAGAAACACGTATGGGATTCTAAGTATTGCCGACAGTTCGATTTTGTCTAAGCCTGTGAAGTACGTTAGTAATAATTCTACTTAAATCTTAAACTTTAAATTTATAAATAAATAAAATATACATTTTTAAAATATTATGTTATATCTTAATTCTTTATTAATATATTATGATTATAGGAGATTCCATCATAAAAATAAATAAGATTATTAACGAAGTAAAATATCATATAAAAAATAAAAAATTATTCATATAATATTGAAAAATTGGACATTTTATGTACTAATCAACTATTTAATCCAAAGAAAATTTGAAGACTTTAATTTCCATAGGGATTAAATTAAGAATAAGCTGCAGATCCAAAGATATTAGTTATCTCTTCGGCATTCATGGACCGACTTTCCATTGTAGAGAAATAATAACAAAAAATGGGCAATTTAATCAACTTCAATACTGTTTATAGTGCTGTGAATTAAGTATATTTATGAGGTGGGTCTTGTTTTCTCTTAAAAGAAAATATCAGTTATTTATTTTGAGCTGTGTAGATTTAGATCGAACACCAAAGTTAAAAGCCAAAATAAATATTAAATGAATTGTATTATAAATTCTGTAAAATAAAGGTCTTTCACGTTACCCCATTGCTGCTAAATATACAAAGGTAAGAAGAGAAAGGAGAAGTCAGAAGTGCAGTAGAAGAGTTAAGCTAAATGCAAAAAGAATACTACAGAGTCTCCTATGAATCCTTTTAGTTACTGTTTATGATCAGCCTTTGAATGGCAGAGATATGATATCAGAGCCTCAGTTCATTCTTCATTGCCCTTCTTCTCTGAATCACACATAACTCGCTGCTCCAGTAAAGCAATGCAAACTCACTGTAATCTCCGACAATTACAGGATATATTATTCACAACTTTCATAATATAAATATAAAAGTAATAACTTATACATTCTGAAGATATCAACAAGCCGACCTTAGCTCAGTTGGTAGAGCGGAGGACTGTAGTGGGTCTCGCCCAGTTATCCTTAGGTCGCTGGTTCGAATCCGGCAGGTCGGATTTTTCAATTTTGCTGTTTACTTGTTCTGAAATTGTTTTTTTCCCGTGTATGAGGAGAGATAGGTCGACAAAAATGTATTCGACAGGTCAACGACAACCGTGTAGGAATTGGCATTAACTCCCTCAAAACAGAAAGAAGTCACGCAGCAGGTATCAATGATTTAAGATCAGGCTTTTGAGGAAGTGAAGTTGAACAATGGTAAATACTATCGAGTTTGGATTCTCTGTGGATTTGGTTCTTAATGTTTCCTATAGGTAGTAACCAATAGACCCTAAGCATCCGTTGTTGAATGTTTCCCTGAATTTATCTGATGTTTTGGCTTGCAGCACACCCTACAATCGACAACACTCGACAGTCGCATTCCTATTGTAACTCTCTTGGACCAAAAGCATTCTGGAAGGTAGAGAAACCTTTTGCATCATTGTTAAAATGAAAGAAACCTTTTGCATCTGTTGTTGGGACAGTAATGATGCATGCCCTGGATCTTTGTAAAATCTAGGCATGTCATTGTCCTTTTATGAATGTTAAAAGTTTATGATCCCACAATGTGATGATTAAAGGACGAGTGTTTCTGGATTTTGAATGTCAAGCCATGTAATTGGTCATTGTATGCTGTTTGTACTGATAAGGATTCTGCAAAATCATTGACATATATAATGCATGGAAAAAAACTTTCAACTCGACTTCGAATTTAATCAGTACTCAAACGAAACACCGAGTACAGCAATCAAGAATGTCTAACAATTTGTTTGACTATGGAGAAGTTATAGGATGACAGTCATTATGCCGACTTTTAGTATTTTTCTTCCTCGGAAGTTGAGTTTTCCGAGAAAATCCCATAGTCAGATTGCATATGAATGTCAATCGATTTGTTTTGACTATGGACTTTTAAAACCTAAATCCACTGTGCTTCACATAACTTATCAAACTTGAGTTCTACCATGGTAGAGTGATTGTAACATCCCAATACCGGGTTAGTGACTAAATTGTAAAGTCTCATAATTAGGTGATTAAAATATAATGATTGAATAGTATAAAGATTTATTTGTAAATTATTGTATGGATTGGAATTGAAAGGAAGAAGGAATAGAAGGGCAAAGATGTCATTTCTAAGGAAACAAGAAAAGAAGGGTTATATATGTATCCACGTGGGTTGAAGAGGGGAGAACACAAAGGCTTCCAGAGTTCTTTTATTCTTCTTTCTTCCTTGTACGTGTAAAACAAAATAAAGGTGAGTTTTCTGATTATTGAGTTTCTTGTTAAATTTAAGACTGAATTTTGATAAGTGTTAGAATCGAGTCATTCATTTCTGAATAACTTTCCAATGGGTCACCCATCCTTGGATTTCCCTAGTCCAAGCACGCTTAACTACAGAATTCTAAAAACGAATGATCACCATTCCTTCTTAACCACTGGTTCATATTGTAATTTGCTAACGGAAAACCCTAATAAGTTATTCTTGACAAATAAACAAAAACATGTTACGATGATGATGTTCATAATAGTCGTGGATCCAGTCATTTCTTCAAAGGAAAAGCAAGAGCAAAGGGACGAAAGAAACAAAGACTTGGTGATTAGATTAGAGAGATTTTGCTGATTCGGTTCAACTATGCATGTTTGGTGTGGGACGTAATAACGAGATTAATTATATTTTTAAATAAATATAGGTTATTATACATAATCTTTTTGTATGGCTATTTTCATATAAATTTTATTAAATACGGGTTCATTTTTTTTTAATTATTTAGTTAAAGATTTTACAAAAAAAAATATCATAAAATAATTTCAGTTATAATTCAAAGTGCTGAATAATTTAATAATTTCTAATTACGTTGGTATTCGAATTTGTGATATTAAATATAATTATAGATATAGATTTGGTTCCCTTCAAAAGAAGTTAAACGGCCTAATTTTATGGGTTTAATGGGATTTTATTTGTGGCTAATAATAGCCTAATATTTCTTCTTCTGCGAATTTCTCTCTTCACCTTTAAACCTTGTTTCCATTTCAAAAAGAATGGGGAAAAGCACGACAAAATGGATAAGGATAATGTTGTTGAGGGACACGGCACGTGCACAAGAACACAGAGATAGCTCTCGATATCGTCTTGTCCAGTTCAGCCAATTTTTCCCACCGAGTTTTGCAATCCCACTCGTCCACTGGGTTCACACGTCAGACATACTACGATTATTAGTTAAATGAACAAAAACTTTATATTGTATTTAAAAATATATATAAATATTAATATTATTAATAATTTAATTTAAAAATTAAAATTTAATATATTATATTTTTAGTCGAATATCAAATAATTCGTTTCAACTCGTTAAAATTCAAATTGAGTCCATATAATTCGAATGTTGACTGATATATCGAAAAAAGTGGGAAAATGTTTTATATATAACGTGAATTTAGTGTATTGAAGGACTGTCAAAGTAAAATTTACAAATAAATTAAGTAAAATCATTACAAAATTTATCGTGCCAGTTTATGACCATGAATTTCATCATAAATAAGATTGTGCTGCTAGAAATTTGCCAAATGCAACACCCATCGTGCACCGAGGATTTACAATTTTCATTTTGCCAGCGTACGAAAGCATGTTTAAGGTGTCGAATTTGACAATTTTAAGGTTCATGGATTCTCTCGAACATCAAAACCTAACCATGTGGTTCTTGCTTGTTTCACCACTCATCATGAAGTTTCCACGCCGGCTCGGGGTTGTCAAGGTGTCGACAAAACTCTACCAACCAATGCCATATGATTAATGCTAAATATAATTATCTACCATCTTGGGCTTACAGTAATTAATTAATCAAATTAGTCACCCTATAATATAAAAAATAAATATTTTTTTTGGTGTAAAACACATGGAAAATTTCAGGTGACCCAAGCATGAATATACCGTCTTCGTGACATAATGTGCTTCGGAGTAAAGTATATAAATCATCATCTGATTATGAGGCATTGCTTTGTCGAATATTCGATTATTTATATGTTCTAAATTCATATTTTTATTAACATTTATCTAAGTTAGATGTTAACATGTTGTATGGGATGTGATAAAATCATATTTAAATGATGTCTATCGGCATTGTCGTTACTTTCGAGCACCGACTCGACGACATAATATTTTAAACGCTGACTCGACGACATATTGTAAATAGAGACTCTCCACAAAATACAACTCAAACAGTTTTAGATTCAAATTTTATCATATCTAAGTGAATAGGTTAAAATTAGACGATAACTATTTTTAACAAAAAAATGACGAGTTTGACGCATATGAATAGCCGAGTGATTGTTTTATAAACAAAAAATGACTCAACAAAGAAACACCTTATAGTCAAGAGAGTGTTTTATAACTTTCAATAGTTAAAATACTCCACAAAACACTACCCTGTAATCGGAGATTATTTATTTACTTATCATATGCTTTATATATAAAAGATTAATTAATTTTAATGAAAAAAACAAAATAATAATCTTATTAACAATTTTGATGTATATGGTCCGAATAGGCGTCTCGTTTAATTTTCCTTGGATGTTGACTAATTGATGACGATAATGATAATCACGCCAACCACCAAATATCCTACATAATCATCCCATTCAAGATCATTGTATATATTATAATCTAACTTACCATTAAATTTAATTAATCTTATTTTGTATAATTCATTAGTGATTATCTAAACCGAACACAAGATAAGCTCATTTAACTCAATTTAAATTTTAAAATATTAATTAAACTATGACAAAACATGTTTATCCCCAAAGAACATATTAAATAATTAACAACTTGATTAGGTTAAGGGAAGTGTCAACCGGACAAATAATGATGACTTAACACAATCAAGTTGTTGATATATATTTTTTTGAGGACAAGTTGTTGATATTAAAAACAATTAAATAGGCCCTTCTTATCAAAAGCAACGTGGACTAATAATAGAAAAATGTTACATCTCAATCGCTTTTTTCGAAATAATTCCATTTTCTATACATAAAGTTATAGCTTTTGCTTTTAAGGAGACGAGTACTTAATTATTTAACACATAGGTCACATAAAAGAAGGTGAAATCAAAATTTTAATATTATAAAATTCACCTCCCGATAGAAATAAGGCTAAATATATATATGATCGCTTGACTATAAATATATTTTGTTTTGACCATCGATACTTCAATTGTATCAATCAGATAATCTAATTATTTAAATGATGCAAATCAAGTCACTCTTCGTTAATATTTAATAGAGAAGATGACATGACAATTAAAAAGTTAGTAAATAGAACAAGAATGAAAATGAAAAGAATCAAATTTGAAATTTTTGAGATAATTGGAGAAAAATAAATGAAAGAAGAGTACAATATACCTTAACATTAAATATACTAATTATTGATTAGATCTGAATATATTTTAGCTATGAATTCAGCAACTCGTTGTTGATTTTTAATTATAATTATTCCAATTATTGCAGCAATCGAAATGACAAAGCAACTATACTCTTTTGTCGTTTAGAAAATTTTAGACATTATTATTATTAGAGGAATCCTCTCTTAGATGCCAATGAATAATTAGCCAAACCATTGGCAGGACGCCGCGTTTTTTTTTTACAACAATTCTTTTTTCTTTTTTTTTTCTTTTTTATGAATACTAATAATAATGTAAAGGATGATTCTTCCACGACGAGGATCGAGCACAATTAACGATGGACATCATTAATTTAATCTATAAAAGTTTAAAATTCTAAATGACTCAACGTATAATTATAAATTAGTTAAAAATTTAAAGGTAAATTAGTTAAAATAAAATATTTATTATATTATTTTCCATAATCTTTTTGGGCAAACTATATCAGTGATAACCTAACTATTGCCCCTTTTCATTTTGACCATCATTTTTGAAAATTTGTCAATCTAGTCATTAAACTATTTAAATGCATTCAATCAAGCCACTTCCGGTTAAGAATCAACGGAAGTGCTGACGTGATGGTTAATAAAATTTGTATAATTACAGTGATCACCTAAGTACTGTTACTCGAAAAGTATACCACGTGAAACTTGATTTATTGTGTACATATTGATATCAGCAACTACAAAATCATCTCAAACGTGTTTCGTTGTTGATCCACCGATTTTCTTTTTTTTATTTCCCTTATTTATTTTAAATGATCAAATTATAATTCAAACTATGAAGTTATATGATTGGAGGATAATTTTCTGTCTATCATTTGTTAATATTTCAATATAAAAGATTTGAAGTTATATGATTGGAGGATAAAATATATTAAATTAATCTCAAAACAAGACCAATTTGATAGATTGTGTAAGTAATAATGACTAAATGTGTAATTATACAAATTTTATTAACTGTCACGGCAACACTTCCGTTAATTGTTAACGGCAAGTGGCTTGATTGATTGTATTTAAATAGTTTAGTGACTTGATTGACAAATTTTCAAAAATAGTGATCAAAATGAAAAAAAAAAAGAAATAGTTAGGTGGTCAATATTATAGTTGATCTAAAAAAACAATGAAAAATAATATAATAAATATTTTTATTTTAACTATTTTTTTAATTTTTAACTAATTTATAATTATATATTAAGTCATTTAAATTTTAAATTTTTATAAATTAAATTAATAGCATTCATCGTCAATTATGCTCCACGATATTCGTGACAGATGTAGAATTTTACTAATGCAAAATATCAAAATGTTATGAACCGGGAATGAAGCTACATTGGTGTTTGGAAGGAGGTGGGAACGGGTATAGAATCCAGATCTGCGTATTTTAATTCGCTTTTATAGTATTAAGATTTTTAAGAAAAAAAATTAAGATAGAGTCAATATGATTTTTTTAGAAAAAATTTTAATTATTTTTTGTGATTTAATTAATTTTTAATTTAATTATAAATTAATTTTATATAAATCATATATATAAGTATTGCTTATAATTATTTTTATTTAAATATGATTTTACCTAAATCTATTTTAACTTAAATGTGCATGTTACAATGTAATGATTATTTTCTAAAAAAAATAAAGGCCTCCAAAAATAATTATTGTTGGTGAAAGGAACAAAAGAGAGTTGCAAAAAGGGGACCACTCTTTTTCGGATAAACCTCAACATCTAACGTCCTTGATTTTGCCACGTTTGATCATAATGAACACTCAAATCCCGCCACTATTAATCTAGAGTTGAATTGCAATTCTTTGACCATGTAAATTTATACGTAATAACATTCGTATCTTCCTCTCTTTTTCTGATTATTCTTTTAGTTGAAATTAAATTAAAAATAATAATAATTGTAGATTCACAATCACCACCCTATAAGGTTACACCATCAACAATTTAAACTTGCAATCTTATATGTTAAGTAATTATTATGAGAAAATATAGAAAAGAGTGGGACGTGAATATTCGGGAGTATATCTAGAATAGATCAGATGATCAAAATTATTGCAGCCGCTTGACGTGGATCCTCGCTGTCTGGTCCAAAAATACTTGACTCGGTCGCCGCAGATAATCCTATTGCTTAACGCCACGTACGAACCAAGCTTCTCTCTCCCACATCTCGTGTGCGCGGCGGCTCGTCCGCCCACGTCGGTTCGAACCGGGTCCCGCTATTTCCTAGACCTTACTATAAAACCAACCTCATGGTTCACAAGTAAACTCGCTCAGTTTACCAAAAATTAAAATAATAATAATAATAAGAGAGAGAGAGAAAACAGAAAGATGGCCGCCATTGCAACTAGATTCCCGTTGAATCACCGGAATTTAGCGTACGGTTGCCCCGAATTCAAGTTCCCGGAGCAACCCGATTCGCTTGGATCCGATATGGAGTTGGAGTTTCTCGAAGACAGTGACCAGGGAATCCTGGGAAACTGCGACGGCGATAAATTTCGAGGTAACAACGATGGAAATGTAGAAGGTGACGACGACGATGACGGGAAAGAAAACGACGGAGGTAGCGATGAAAATAGCAAGAGTTTCTGGGAGAGCCAGCACCAGGCTTTACAGAAAACTTTGTTTAGAACTAGCTCTATAGAATTGAGAATTAGGAACGCTACAAAGGAAGCTCTGAAAGATATTCAGACGGAAAGAACCGTTTGTGCTTGCCGGAAATCATCAACGGCGGAAAATTGCCGGAGTTGTCTCATGAGAGAGGTTTGTAGTCGGCTCCAAAACGCCGGTTTCAACAGCGCCGTTTGCCGGACTAAATGGAGAAGCTCCCCAGATATCCCTTCAGGTATACTACACGGCTGGTCTCATCAATATGCGTATATATAAACAAGAACATTGATTACACTGATTCATCTCGGGTTTTAACTGGGTTTATGGTTTAATATTTGTGCAGGGGAGCATAAGTTTGTGGATGTGATAGAAAATTCAAGAAAAGGTGAAGTAAGGGTAATAATCGAGTTGAATTTCAGAGCAGAGTTCGAGATCGCAAGAGCAAGTGAAGATTACAATCGTTCAGTCCAAAGATTACCAGAAGTTTTCGTCGGTAAAGTTGAGAGATTAAGCAATGTGATCAAAATCTTGTGTTCGGCTGCCAAGAAATGCATGAAGGAAAAGAAAATGCACATGGGGCCATGGAGGAAACAGAGATACATGCACGCCAAGTGGCTAAAATCATGCGAAAGGAACACGTCGACGCAGTCCTTTCCGGTTGGATGTACCGGCAGCCGGTTGACGAAGCCGAGAGCGTCGATGTTGACTGAAGATTTGCTCGGAAAGTTATCCAACGTGCGTTGTACAGCACTCGAGGTTGTATAGATGATGAATACTACTGATACGCAAATTTCATATGAGGTTGCGTTATATGGATAAATAATGATAGATATGATCCAGAAATGAGGGTTCTCGTCGGAATTTTTGTTCTTTTTCTTACATGTTTTTGCTTGAATGTATGATGTTAAAAAATCTGGTTCAGAAAGTTACAGATTTGATGACAGAATATGGTGAGTTATGCAGTTGGTTTCTTTAATCTTAAATCTTAAAAAAATAAACATAATAAAAATGGATCATAGCTAATCCCATTAAACTAAGGTTTCTTTGACTTGGCGTTGTTTAAAATGATAACTTCAAGATCAACCAAGTAGCAATAAATAATGAAGCAAGTAGATCAAAACCCAGACTTGCTGAAACTCCTGGGAAAATTTCTATGCCTTGAACTTTTGTTTTGGGTTCAAGATATGGAAGTTGAGGTTCTGAAACTGCATAGATTATTCTATGTAAAAATATTTATTGGGTCGGGTGGTAATAAATTCTCGAGTTTTGAATCTTTATGGATGAGAAAGTAGAGATAAAGAAATTTTATTTTTCAAAAAATAAGATTTAATTCGATTTGATTTTGAATTTAATTGAGATTATTATCGCTATCAAATACATCGAAAAAAATAAATTACACTGTTAAAAAGTTAAATACCATATTAAATTAAGAAAGAGTTATAATTAGACATGAAGATTTTAGAAAGAAAAAAAAAGAAAGAATAAATTAGCATGGATTATAATGAAAGTGAAAAAAGACTCGACCCAAGATAATATTATAATCATTCATTATATATTTAGGGATACATATAATAATAACATTCTCTATATTATTATTATTTTTAATTAGAGATACTTATAATAAAATCCTTATCTATATTATTATTTCAATTAGATTCTTATTTTACTTAATCAAAATGAATATTAGCCAATGTATGTTGACACAAGTGGTTAAAATTCAGGAATTTGATTTTGTAAGGCTAAGTTTGAATCCTACCACCGTCACTCTCGGTGGGTAATCTGTAAATTCATATGTAAATCTCAAAAAATAAAAGAAATAAAACATGAATATATATATAGAGAGAGAGAGAGGTTAGGTCTTGTGGATATTTTAACCTCAAAAGTTGGGTCATTTTCATATCGAATGTAGTCCTCTTAAACCTAGATCGAGTGAAAGTATTTAATTTTCAAATCGGATTTGGATGGACAAAAAACTTAAACCGACTCCTAACCATCCCTAAACGCAACAAATCCTCATGAAAAGTATGACTTTCCTCGTGATCAAATAGTTGCTTTTGACATGAAGGATTTTCAAAGGTGCATTGACAATGATTTGCTGAACTATCCTTATTCTGGATTAGCTTTGACCTGGTCTAATCATAAGGAGGGGACACCATTGGTTGGAAAGTTAGATAGGGTTATAAGTAATGTCCATCGGTACAATGCTTTTCCTCAAACTTGGGTGAAATTTTTAGCTCCTGGAGTATCTGACCACTCGTAGATGTTCTAGGCAACTTAAGGTTCTTGCAGAATTTAGATGTAATAGTTGAGCAGTGGGCTCAGGTACCTAATGTTATGTGAAAGATGGAGCATATAATGGAAAATAGGTGTTGGGTGGAATGCATTATTAATGAGAAGTCAAAACACATAATGGAGCACCAAAACCCATTTTAAAAAAGGCAAGTCAAATGATTAGATTAATCACCATTCCATCAGTTGGTTATTTGCATTTCTTTGAAGTTTCTTCAAAATTGTTACAACCATTCGACACCGCAACAAGAAGGAATGAAATGGCTTGGCCCGCCCTGTATTTCGCCGTCACGACGATCGGAGGGCTGATAACTAAAGAAGCAATATCCTTATGGGGCATGGAGGATCAAGTTGACAGTTTGCAAAAGGAGCTGAAATGGATGCAAAGCTTCTTGAAAGATGCAGATTCAAGACAGGGCGAGAGCGAAAGGATACGCCTTTGGATATCCGAAATCAGAGAACTTGCTTACGATGCCGAGGATGTCATCGAAGGTTTCGCCCTGAAGGTCGGGTCGAGAAGAAAAGGTGGTTTTTCAAACACAGTCAAAAGATCAGCTTCCATCCTGAACGAGGGATGGGAACTTTGCAAAACCAAGTGGAAGATACAGAAAATCAAAACCAGAATCACTGACTCGACTCGACAGTTGCAGATGTATGGCGTGAAAGAGTTAAGGGAAGGAGAAGAATCATCAACTTGTTCTCAAACAAGGCGTGAACTAAGGCGCTCTTATCCTCACATCATCGAGGATAACATCATTGGATTGAAGGATAAAATTGAAAAGCTGGTCTCTGTTCTTCTCAATGATCAAACCCCTAATTATAAACTTGTATCCATCTGTGGGATGGGTGGTTTGGGAAAGACCACACTGGCTAAAATTGTTTACCATCATGACCGTGTTCGAGCTCGGCTTGAACAAATGGATTGGGTCTATGTTTCTCAACAATGCCAAAGAAACAAAGTATGGGAAGACATTTTGGTCGGCTTAACTTCTTCAAACGAAAGGATTAGTCATCTTAGTGATGCACAAAACTTGTTGAAGGAGAAGAGATATATGCTTGGTGATTCTTGATGATATATGGATAACCGAAGCTTGGGACAGCTTAAAACCTGCCTTTCCTATGGCGGATGACGCAAGAAAGGTGTATGATTCAAGTACGAGAACGAGATGTCGCAACCTTCAAGATCAAAACTTTTCAGTTGCATGATCTAATGAGAGATATTTGCTTGTCAAAGGCGAAACAAGAAAGCTTGGTCTTCATCATCGATCAATCCAATGCGTGCTCATTGTCGATGATTCAAAAGGCTCGTAGAGTTTCTACACACGAAGCTTTTCAGATACAACACATTAACAGTCTGAATCTTCGATCGCTTTCATTCTTTAACGAGTTCCACCCGAAGGAGGTATTTGGCAAATACGTGCGCTGGACAATGCTGAATTACCTTGAAAACCATTTCAAATTGCTGAGGGTTCTAAATTGTGAGGGGATAATCAACACTGGAGGAGGATGCAAGTCACCAAGTGATATGGGTAATCTCATCCTTTTAAGGTTCTTAAGTCTAAGAGGTCTTGTCATCTTGAACTCGAAGCTGCCATCGTCTCTAGGCAACTTAAGGTGCCTGCAAACCTTGGATTTAAGAGTTGTTTGGTCAGTTCAGGTACCTAATGTTTTATTTAAGATGGATTTATTAGTACATTTGTATCTCCCTTGAGAACGTAGAGTCGAAACGAAGTTGAAATTGGGTACTTTAAGAAACCTGCAAACGCTTGCGAACTTCAACACTGAGAATTGTTACATACAAAATCTTATCAACATGAAAAACATCGGAGTGTTGGAGATTCATGGACGCTTTGAGATCGAAAATTTTAACAGGGAAGTGTTGGATAAGAATCCACCTATAGTTCATGGTAAGTATCTGCATTCCTTGTCTATTTGGAGTGCTGAAAGAATCGATCCAATGCATCTGAATCACCTCCTTTCAAGTTGTGTTAGTGCTTGCAAGTTGAGTTTAAATGCGGAGATTCGGATGTATCCCGAGTACCGCTGCTTGAAAAAGATCCGATGCCGGCGCTATAGAAGTGCCTAACTTGAGGGTCCTAGTGAGTTGAGATGAATCATCGTCTCATCAATAAAATTTAAAATAAGATTCAATTAGCCATTAGCAAGTGAAAAAAAGGGGTAATTAGTTCATTAATGAATGAGATATCATGGAGTCTAAAGAATACTTGTTTCCTATTTAAATACACCTGATTTATCAAACATCTTGCAGTGATAAACCCTGAAAATCTGAAGACTTCCTCCTAAGCACATTGGAGATTGTCAGTAATAGTGATTGACCTGCATGAATCTCATCCATCCTCCCCAAATCTGTGAGTTGAGATGAATCATCCACCCATGGCTGCTCAAATGACCTACGCACCACCACCACAGGGCATTATAGTTTTCTCTCATAAATGAACTTCATTAGTAATATTCATATACATACGTAGATCTTCATTTGAGTAATATTTTAGCTCATTTTCACCTTGCTTTTTCCCATTGTTGATCTTTCCCAGCTGTTTCTCGGGCTTAGTTTCGCACACGGTGCTCATAGCCGGCTTTATCGTGGATATAGAAGAGGAAGCTGTCGCATTTAAGATCATTAGGGTACCCGATGATGCCGAAGACGGTGACTTGGATGTTAGATTAGAGAAACAGTTCAACAGAGAGGTTACTCTGTTGTCCCGGCTCTACCATAGGAACGTTATTAAGGTAATTGAATTTCATTGTCATATTCTTTTTTTTTTGGATAAGTAAAGATTTTATTCATCCAAAAAAGAAAGCAGGCTAGCTGCTACAAAACATATTCCCCTAGACAATTAAATCAATCCCCATTCTATACACAATTGCCTATTTACATCATCAAATCTATTCATGTAGCATCTATACAATTTAATTCTCACAGTCTCTTTGATTCTGCTAACAATAGTATCAACCGAACGAATCAACCCTCTAAAACGTCTGTGATCATTGAAATGAGTATTTGTGTTATGATTTCGGTTCTCACTTTATGTTTTGATCCGATAACTAGTTTGTAGCAGCATGCAGAAAGCCTCCAGTTTATTGTGTCGTAACCGAATATTTATCAGAGGGTTCATTAAGGACATACTTGCACAAGCTTGATCACAAATCTCTTCCATTGCAAAAAAGTAATTGCTATTGCTCTTGAACTTGCTCTTGGGATGGAATACATTCATTCTCAAGGAGTCATTCATCGTGATCTTAAGCCGGAAAACATCCTTGTCGACGAGGAATTTCACCTGAAAATTGCTGATTTCGGTATAGCATGTGAGGAGGCACATTATGATCTGCTGGCGGATGACCCGGGGACTTATCGTTGGCCTGATCTGATCAAACGAAAACCGTATGGACGAAAGGTCGATGTTTACAGCTTTGGATTAATCTTATGGGAAATGGTCACCGGAACAATCCCGTACGAAGATATGAATCCTATACAAGCAGCTTTTGCAGTTTCGAACAAGGTATATTTCTAAATCTCATGTTCTAAATCCAGGTGATGGTAGACTGCTTGGTCATCTTGCCGATCCTCGGCAGTCTAGTTTCCCGGTCACATGCAGCCGCTTGAGCTTTAATAGTAAGCTATCATCCAAAAATGCATCGTATGCATGAAGTAT